TTAAACTACGGCCATCTTGGTCTGTTCAAGCACTAGTCCAATAATCATCAATCCTATGTTAAAATGACTGCAAATCCTGTTGTCCAAAAGTGCGCAGGTGCAGACCAGTGACGTGTACAGTGTAGTACACTACTGTACTCGACTGTGGACTCGACACTACTGTAGATCACGAAGATCTCTTAGCTCATACTGTATTACAATACCAGATGATCCCTTAATTAACACTACGGCCATCTTGGTCTGTTCAAGCACTAGTCCAATAATCATCAATCCTATGTTAAAATGACTGCAAATCCTGTTGTCCAAAAGTGCGCAGGTGCAGACCAGTGACGTGTACAGTGTAGTACACTACTGTACTCGACTGTGGACTCGACACTACTGTAGATCACGAAGATCTCTTAGCTCATACTGTATTACAATACCAGATGATCCCTTAATTAACACTACGGCCATCTTGGTCTGTTCAAGCACTAGTCCAATAATCATCAATCCTATGTTAAAATGACTGCAAATCCTGTTGTCCAAAAGTGCGCAGGTGCAGACCAGTGACGTGTATAGTGTAGTACACTACTGTACTCGACTGTGGACTCGACACTACTGTAGATCACGAAGATCTCTTAGCTCATACTGTATTACAATACCAGATGATCCCTTAACTTCAAACTAGCACTACGGCCATCTTGGTCTGTTCTAGCACTAGTCCAATAATCATCAATCCTATGTTAAAATGACTGCAAATCCTGTTGTCCAAAAGTGCGCAGGTGCAGACCAGTGACGTATACAGTGCAGTACACTACTGTACTCGACTGTGGACTCGACACTAGATCACGAAGATCTCCTAGCTCATACTGTATTACAATACCAGATGATCCCTTAACTTCAAACTAGCACTACGGCCATCTTGGTCTGTTCTAGCACTAGTCCAATAATGAATCCTATGTCAAAATGACTGCAATACAGCCATGCAAATACATGCTTATCACCTCAAGATAGAAAGTATTTCAAAAAATCAGAAATCCTATTCCACAGACATCTGTAAACAGGTGTATCGACAGTAGATAGATACAAGTATGTAATTCCAGGTTCATTTCTGAAAAGAAATTGAGACAATCATAAAGTTAGCATACGTTCAAAAATCAATCTATCCTTCCATAATAGAATTTCAATGCTGGAAAAGGGTAACTTTCAAGGTGAATCATGTCCATCGCTATTAATACGAGTATTACTCTACACCAAGAGCAGTACCATTATTCAATTAAAATAATTCTCTTTCATTACTATACGAAAATAGTACAACGCTTTCCAACATAATAAACTGCATTCGTTGAACGATATATACAGGAAAAAATGGATACGTCCATCATCCATAAAAAGAAGTGGATACACAGACTAAGCAATTATACTAAAAGCATATCAAAGTAGAAACTATGAGTACATACAGCAATCCACTTTCAGGCTATATCTGATATCACCATCATACCATTCACTGTTATGAAATAATTCAAAATTTTCAAATTCACCAATAAATAGACAACAAAATAACATTCTCATTCAAAATTATTACAAGAATAATTGGAACATGAAAGCTGGTACAATGTATAGTATAACAATCGCAAAGATGAGTTAAAATAAAAGATTAAACAAGAAGATAACTTGTACTATATCAAATTTCTCTATTATGATGTCAAATTCTAAATAGTATCAAATACGTGATTTAAACGGCCTCAATAAATTTCAATATAACTCTAGTCAATAAAAAACAACATCAAACAATATTTTAAATAAAACATCCTAGCTTTTGAACTTGATTAGAATTAGAAATTATATCCTAGCATAAAATCACTCCAAGAAATTGGTTGGTTTAGCAATGTTGATAATAATCTTATACCAACAAATATGGAATGGATTACAATTTCAATATACGGTACCTTTCAATCAGGCTAAGTGTATCACACTATTTCATCCAGAACTCCAATTTCATGCCAAACATCGATTAATTTAACGCCTTGTTAGCATCACAGCTAATGCTGCACCTGTTGCTGCATCGCCAGTTGCCCCTATAGTTACAGGTAGGTGAAATTGACTTTCAACAATATCACGAATGAACGCATGAGAAGCCAGCAGCCGTCCACTACCAACAATACGACGTATTCCAGCCTTTCGCAGAAACTCACCAGGCATCATATCATTTAAATTATGAATAATTCCATATAAGAGGCCATTGGCAACATTAGACAATTGCAAATTATGCGGTGTAATGTGTGAAACGCAACCTCTGCGCTTTGGATCATGCCTCTCACCCAATAATATCGGTTCAATTTTTAACGACGGTACAGATTCTACAGAAGAGGCTAACCTCAGTATTCTATCAAATAATTCTTCCTTATTTGGTATATCAACAACTGCTAAATCCTTCATCCAGCTTGCCAACATGTCAACAAATGCAGCTAAAGCATTGCCCCCATTTAGAGCTGCAGCAACAGAGATAAAGGATTTTTGAAAGAAAGGTTGAATTTGAATACTAGCTGGAATAACGGTTAAATTATCCTGAATAAACGCATGACTTGCCACAAATGCCAATTGAGCTGAAGTACTAATATTCATGACTACGATAGAATACCACATCCATAGAATCCACAAGTTTCACCACAGCATGTAATCCACATACAGGCATGACCCGTTATCGTATATAAAGAATGATATATTATTAATTTAAAATGATTTTTCATAAAATCTGATCTATCATCTCCAATATTTGAATCTGAACCTCTTACAACTAGTAAACATCTACATGATTTCATTACCTGCATCCGTATTATCTTTCAGAGCAGAATATATAGAGCACTGCATATCGCCACTTGCTACGCTCACTGGTATGCCAGCTTTCAAACCCCACATCGCTTGTTGCAAATAGCCAGCTTTCTCACCTGCATCTGATACCTCAGGTAAGAGCGCTATTGGAAAAGAAGCTGGCTCAAGACTATAGTAAAACAATAGTCAAGAATATAAAATGTCAACGAGTGAATAGTAACCATATTGCATTATTCCCTTACTACTCGTAAATATTCAGTAACTATTTGTGCGTGTATGCAGCAACACTAGAATTTCACTCCAGTGTCCTTCATTTCTAAAATTTAAATTATTATTCCAACTGCCATAAACAGCACTGTAGCAGACACTTAGTGTTTAGCTAGTACCGTTGATGATTATCATTATTATTTACACTAAATAACACATGTAGATGACATGGCTATGCCAATTCCTGCAAGCACGAACTCTTTTATCACTGTGTACTTACACTTCTGTTTCCCAACAATTTCGAATAGGATCAAAATAACCCCAGCTTGTAGCATTCTGACCAGACATAACAACTTTGTTGGTATGACATAGAATACAAACCAAAAAATCTTGAATTGTTGATGCACGATCAAATTGACCGATTAGCTGAGGTCTATAACAGAACATAGAGCAATGCTAAGTTCAATGTCATTTGTAAAATAATTGATTCAAAAGATACTATGCAGAAACTTGCAAGCTTAATCAAATTAGTCAATCCTTGTACCGATTTTTTAACAGCCAAAACAACGTTGCACAACCAAATCCTGTGGCAATTTTCACCGTGGACTGACTCGAAGGTAAACTTTGCAAGAAATGCGTATCACATCGCCCGTCCTGCCAGGTGTACAAAGGAGTGCAGTTGGTGACTTGAATAGACTCGTAGTTTCCTTTCGTGATCTCCCAGCAACTGTCTAAAAGTCATTCATTTAATGAAGACAAATAAATGATAGAGCAAGATACTAATTTATTGTAAAAATAAGTACTTGTCGACCATCAAACGATAATAATCATGGTAGTGGTAATGTTAACCGATGTAGCAAATCATCCGCTGGATGTGTCTGGTGAATTTAAAACGTCTTTGAAGACCATTAGTTACCTGACTGCCATAACAAGCAACCATGCATCTGACCACAAACTCCAATAGCCTTGACTTTACTCTTATACAAATCAGGTATATCTAACATCGCTTTTTGGACAGCTTGCAAAATTAACTGCACACTTTGTTCGCTACCATTTTCATTATCCGACGGTACATCAGCATTGGTCTCAGCTGTTGTTGAATAAATCACTTTACGATTTTCTTCGTTTAGTAAGCATATTTTAACAGACGTTGTTCCTAAATCAATCCCTAAAATGATGTCTTGAATTGCCTCCATGTGTTCCTTGATATACAGAAAGTTGAACTGTATACTGCAGCAGTTCTATAATATTTTATTACTAATGTCAAATGTCTCTACTCCATACTGCAACTTGCGCTGCTTAGTATACTACTGTACTGTCGTCCGTCGTACAGTATACAACAGTATTGCTATTACGTAGACTCGCTCATTAAAGAACTCCTTCTCAACGCGGATAGTCCCTTACTCACAGATATTAGAACGAGTTATTAAGCCCTGCTGTATGCTTAGAATTCCTATGCTCATTGCACAGTGCAAACCTCTAGCATAGCGAATAGGACACCTAAAAGCATAAAATTCACAGCCGCTACATTGCAAGGCAGCTACAGCTACACCAATGAGCTCATAATCATAAAAAATACCAGTAGGGTATAGCTTTAATATTGACTATTTATTCATTCATCAGCAAATTAAGCTCCACTGATAGCTACAGATTTCATTTACACAAATACACATAACGCCGCGATCATCATTTCATCAACAATGATATCAATGTAAGCAAAGAGATAGCATCAGCATGTCATATAGTAGATTAAGGGGTTACACCGGGTGGATGAGGAAGTTCCTTGTAGCCACTGCAAATTTCATGGGTAATATAATGAAATAAGAGCAATCAATCTTCTCGTAACTACTGTACTTTACTCGATTCCTTATTCATATCATACATGCACGTAAATCATTACATCCATTAAATGCAAATCAATCAATATAGCATGAATTTCGACATGCTTGAACTATATCATGAGCATAACGAAATAAGTCCTCAAGACGATTATAATATGACAGATATAATTAACATTAATAATCAATTCCATTAGCTTGTAATAAATGAATATTAAATCATTAGCCTATATTGAAACACAAAATAATAGCTTCACAAAATTTTCATGAGCTTCAGATAATCTACTACAACTTCTCATATAGGAATTATTTATGAGCTCATTAACATTTCGATGGATCGATACAAATCGCTTGTGGAGTAGCGATAGGTGTGGAAACGTGACGGTCAATTTGCTTTGTCGCCTCATTAAATGAACCACCTATTGCTAGGAAAAAGTATCTGCAACCATTGACTGAAATATCGTTGCTATCACCTGTTGTAATGGGTCGCTTAAAGCTTAAACTTGAGTAGCCATTGGCGTAAGATCCGTTAACATTAAATACATTTTGATTACTATCGAGCGTAGGAGCTGTCCTGTACTGACCGATGTAGCGATCGGATAAGTAAGTTTTACCTCTTGCTGTCCATCCTACGTAGGTATCTGTAAATGGCATTAACTGATCTTTAGAAACACCAACGCCAAGCCATTTATCTGTCTTTGCTGTAATCGTAAATTCAATTTCTTCTTTGGTAGCCCTCCAAGATAGTTCCTGATTGCATACTCGAGTCATTTTATTGCAATCTGCAGTCAACTTGCCATTACAGGACGAAGTTGCTGAATGCTTGATCAGACATAGTAATAAAATGCTAACCGATATAACTGAAATGAAAGCTAACTTGGCCATAGCTAAAGTAGTCGCACTGTGTATCTTTAATATTACGCGATTTCAAGTCTTGCCTGAAGATTAAATTTTATAAGTCAGCGATTTGAAACTTTGAACCTCTGAATTTATACGTAGCTTAAGGTTCATTCTATATATATAATCTTTAATTTCATCAAAATACGGGGCAAACTTGGAATATTATTGTTTTTGCAGTATTCAATCTAAAAGTAACAAATATTTTCCGTATACGTGTATGTGATAAATACAATGCAGAGACAAAACGTCGATAGCTTCACAACTTTAACTATACATATGAACATGCACTATCACAAAACATAATAAAATCATTTTACAACGAGTCTACTGTACTGTATATAAAACCAAATTCGCCAAATATACTTTTCTAAGGATCTTATAAAGCTACACTAAGATTACCCAAGGCAAATCAATTGCAAAGCGGGACCAGGAAGTGCACACATACGATCAACTAGCTAGGCAATATTATTAAAACAACAGCAGTAGCTATAACCCTATAAATTGAATACATACGCGTAATATTCGCTTTGTTTCAAGTTTATTATGGGGAACTAGAAATATATCTGCTATGCACTAGAGGTCTTGCATACTGTAACTCAATCTGTATTGTACGAGGTATAAGTATATTTACAACAACGATGTTATGAGAAAAATAATAGAGCAATCCCACATATTTATAATGATCCATTACAATGATCCTAGAAATTATATTGGTACTAGATACAAGTAAGTACGGGTATAAACGGTATCAGATTTACAGTAAGATCGTATGTGAAGTATATTTCTTACAAAGTATTCAACAAGTCGTAAATTTAATAAAAAGTATCTACAAACAAACTAGTCGAAATAAATAAAGAAAACTAATAGTAAGTAAATACTTTTGATAATTCCTTTTTTGGCAACTACGCTTTCATAGAGAATGTTATCAAAAGCAATATAATTACTAATTAAAATCTTGCTAAAGATATCATTTTTATACCAGGTCAATTGATTGTACAATCTATACACAGCTCAAGTTACAAAGAGCAACAGTTTTTCGGCGGCGACATAACGCACAACATCGAAACCAAAGTAGAAATAATAATAGCAACCATATCATCGCTCTATTCATCGTTTTCATCGTCTTCGTTTGGTGCACACTAAATTAGAATAAACATAGTTAGTCTCAAGGACTTTTCAACTAACAACTAGCTGAACTGTAAATATGGTACGTTCATATCATTAAGCATAACTACAGCAGTTACTACCAATATCTAATGATGTAGTATCAATTGTTTATCATCATGATTAGTCAAAGAAGATCCAATGTTGAAACAAGAACTTACTAAATACTCAACGAATGATATTTGATTATCGTCATTTTGAATCATAAATTGCAGAGATAAAAATCCACGATTATCCATACGAATTGATATCTTGCTGGATAATGTTAAGGCTTTCACTGAAGGCTTTATCAGAGTAATTTTATATCTAAATTAAAAATATTTAACAAAGAGAGTTAACTTGGTGAGCAATTTTTTAGCAACGAAAAATTTACACCTATCTTTAACATATATTATAATTATTACTTGTTAATTTGTAATTGACGGCATTCGAAAGATTCTACCATTTCGGAATCTTTTGGATAATCAAACTAAAACATTAATATAACATCAATTTTATCATTCAAATCATTCGAATGTTGATATTAAGTAACTCATGTAGAAATTGATGTTTACATGAATATCGCCATAATCTCCAAAAGTTGATAAGCGAAAATAAGGTGTTGTTGGAGACATAAGGATTTCTATCACTTCACTTGTCATATCAAGCTCACTAAATGCTTCTTTCAGGCATTCTGACTGTAATTAACGATATGAAATTAATTATTTTTCTTTCAAAAATCTGACATCACCAATATAGAATCTTTTCCGTAAAGCAATTCACTACATCTAAATATACAACAACTACCAAAAGATTTCAACCGACTTATGTTCAATGATGAACTAGTATCTGAATAGCATTATAGAGTAGATAGGCTAAAAGTATTTTACCTTCATAATAATTTTATTAATAACATTGGTACTTAAGAAATTGAAATCTAAGATTTCCGAAGATTCTTGAGTCTGAATGTTACAATCTGTAAGAACTTCATTTTCTTCTAGCCTAGAACGACGTGCAAACATATTCAAGATAGAGTTTCAAATTTCAATTGTAAAATACCCATACTACTAGCTCAACGGACAAAACCAATGAAAAACTCGATATACAATTATTGGCAACACTGCATGATAGAGGTTTCTAATGTGTTGTAATTGACTAGCCTTTTGCAGTTAATACAATTTTAATGCTTATTTTGTATCGAGTAAGCTGTAGTAGAGCAAGGACTCTATGCATCTCTTACATCAGTATTAATGGATTTCCATAGCCATTATAACACATTTTCATTGCAGCTGTTGTGTTTGGAGACGAATTGCCAAAGATGGATAGACATTCCTAATCATGATAAATTAAAATGCCTTTACTTCCATAATTTCGTATCTTGTAATGGTATTTTCTGCAAAGTGTTGATCCTCAGATACAGTAGTCTACTGTACAGTACAATATCAACAATATGTGTTGCAATGTAATTAACTGCTACTCATATATACAGTAAAGCTATCCTGTCAAGAGCTATTTCGCGATTGCAATCGAATGGCATTAAATACAAGGTATACTGTACATACTGTACGGTAATATTTTTATATAATTACGATTACTAATGACGAAATTACAATATTATAGCTTAAGTTATCAAGTCCTATCTATTTACCAACAATACAGTCAAATTAATAGTAAAAATTTCTCCATCTTCTTTGCATGAATATTCTTGAAAGATAGCAGCTTGGATAAAGGCATTAGCTTGAACACAATGAGCTTCTTCGACAGTTACTTTTATACCGTTGCTGCTGAGAAAACAGGTTGCAAGCTGTAATAGTAAAGAAGATAATTATAGATAGCCTAAACATTCAATATACACGTAGTGCGACTTTCGTACTTATCAATAACGTATACGCGTCTAATATACCTAATTTACACTATTTCGAAGCATGCACAGTTATAAGTATGCAGAAATCATCAATTCAATCCTACATTACTGTATCGCATACGAGTGAAATTTTCTCATGCAATAGTATCCATTTGCAGTTAGACATTGTATACTACGTCACACAAGTGATACTGTATCAGTTAAATAAAAGTTAATCGCACTTCGTACCTCATTGAAATGGATAGCTTTGAGCAAGCTGGTAATGTTTTTAACGTTATCTAGTTTGGCCACTAACGTCATGGCATCTATGCAGTGCGCACGTAGGCTAGAATGCCGGTACAGTATTTCTTCTATCAGATATGATACAACGTTCACTTTTACTCTGATTCAAGAGAATGAATGAAATGTATTACAAATTTACAATGCTGTACGTCAACATAATTATCAAGTTAATCTGTAGAATTTCTCCACTGTCTACCATTCGTTAAGAAGTGGAGGTGCAAAAGCAAAATTATAGACAGGCTTTTGCAGTAGTCTCCTAAGACCTGCGTACATTGGTCAATACGGTTGCACTTATAAAATGCAGCTAGATAGGCACGTCTGTACGTCTGTATAACCGCTGCCGTATTTGGGTTGAAGCCCCCCCCCCCCCCCCCCGGTATGTGCTGTACAGAAGACTCCTAATTTCATGGCGGTATATAGTAGTGGACTCTTGAAGGCCTTTAATGGTTCATAGCCAAACTGGCAGAACCTCCAATTTTTCGAGGAATTCTTTTTTAGAAATCCCTAGCAAAAGCAACCAGGCAGCTGGATGATCATTATAGTCACGGACAGTATCAATATATTGTACAGTTGCAGCCATACAATATAGTTCAAATGATTTGCTAAATGGCGCAGTCTGCACATTTTTAGCCATTTGACAGTGTTGCCACTTGTCATTTAAAACGTATACTCAAGGACTGGGAAATACATAGAGGTCTCCTCTCTAGCTGCGGTCAATCTCATCCAGATTGAGCACTTGGTAGTTGATGTTAAAACTATAAAACATAAGCAGTCTCATTTTGGGTAGAAGATTGATTGTTTGATCACTGGTTCCTGTCAACATAAGGCATCCTTAGTCATCAACTTGCATCGTACTCTACGTGTACAGTACTCTACCGTAGTGTACCGCATGTACATTATTGTACATGTACAGTAGACTGTTCCCTATGAATCAGCAAAGAGAAAGAGAGAATCGTCATCATATCACTAATGGTGCTGTTTTATTACAGTACTTACAACATGGATCTATAGTAATAAATGCTGATGCAAATAATCGCCTACTACCATATATAGTACCCATAGTATATAGTAATTGAATTAATACCATTATTGTTCGCCTAATTGATTGATGAATTCATTGATGAATTCCCTCCACGTTGCAGACGATGGCGTTTGACTGAACTACTACAGTACATACTATACAATCCCTACGTTGTACTGTAGTCCGACCATTATTATTCGCTTAATTCATTGATGAATTCATTGATGAATTCCTCGACCTTGCAGACGATGGGCGTTTGACTGAACTACTACAGTACATACAATACAATACAATCCCTACTTTGTACTCAGACAATGCAGTATTCAATTACTGTACAGTAGTGTACAGTACAGTACAGTATGTACAGTACATCACGTAGCTGGAAGATGTACTGTACACTGTACACTGTACAGTGTACACGTGCAAATTCGTACAGTATTTCACCATCAATGACTTTATTTACAATGTACAGTACACTGTACACAATACACAGTACTGTAGAGGATACTACAGTATACTGTACAGTACTGTACTGTACAGTGTACAATACTGTACTCAACGCTCTGCTGTACGTTTTACTGTACTGTACACTGTACAGTACAGCGTCATTCAGGATTCACCTGACGTGTACCAGTTAGGACGTGTTAATAGCGTACCATACCGTTCCGAAGCGGTAACAATTAAACTGCAACCTCGTCCGCCGCAATCGTATCCCGATCGTGCCGAATCTATAAATTGCAGGCAGAGGGACGCCGGAGTCCACTTGGGAATTATTGAAGCCAATTTGGGATTCGTCAACTATTCAAGTTTCTTCATTCCAAATTCAAAATCAAAAACGATGAGCCAAGAAGCAGAAGGTAGTGCAGCCATGCTAGGCAGTACGGATATTGTGGTGATCGCAGTCGCTGTTGCCGCTGTGGCTTATTTCCTTTTTTTCCGAAAGAAGCCTGAAGTGGAAACAGAGTCATTCAAAAGGCTTAGTGTTGTAACGTAAGTACATCGCCTTGCCCAAACACATTTCCTGACCTAAATTGACTGACAATCTTCGTACTACAACTATCCATCATACGAAATACTGTTGTCGACAACAGGCTATATCCGTATTGCGCCCCATCGCCAACATGATGGAGTCGATTGATTACTATCTTGTATCTACCAACTTGGAGCATCATGTAATATGGTAGTTTACATACGTGTAATGGATACGTTGAATGTGATAGAGATCAGTCTAGTGCATTTCAGTCAAACTCGCTCGAGATGCAGCTCAAAGAGTGCCATATTCTCCTTTAGTAGTCCTTGCTTATAGTTAACATTGTTAAAACAAACTCTTGCTACGATATCCCATCATCAACCAATTATTCATTATTAATACTATACAAGTCAATCTTAATATCAATTAACCGGTCAAATAATCAATCAATCAATAACGACTATTCACTTACCGTAACACTTGCAGTAGGATGTGTTTGCTCGTTGACAACGTGACTTAAAATTGAGCGGATCAAGATAGAAATCAAGGAAAATTTTAGTCAATGTGCTTGTACAGTGCGTACAACTGTACACAGTTGGATGTGGATAATTCTATACACTGCCATGTAGAAATATTAGGAATAAGAGCTTAGTCGTGTAAAATAACGCTTGCTATATCATTATCCACACACACTCATCATGCAAAACGATTTCTGTTTGAATATTACATCGCCAGTGATTAGCTTATTTATAACCTTATCAATTATTAATGATTACTTAATACTGTTGTAAGGTCAAATAATTTAATTATTCATCGACCAGCAATTACTAACCTATATAGAAATAAAATTAACTATAAATAGCCATATCTATTAGCATCAATTACTGCGTATAACAATTGGATATTCTAGTTTAACGTAAGCCTTTTTAGAACAACCGTCAAGCTTATATAGAAGTGTTTCATGATTTCTACATACACAATTGCCAAGCTACAGTGCAACATGCCAATTTAATATTATTGGTAGAGCACTATAAAATGCTCGTACAACTGTAACGAAATGACTATGCATTGTAATTGAGAGATTTGTCTTCACTAAAATGCAATCATGAATTTAATCTTTTACATAGCATAATTTACTGCTAGACGTCCCAATCTCAAAAAGGCAGATTAACTTCTAGTGCATTGATGTTAATCTTAAAAAATATGATAATTATATAATATCATCTACATTGCATATAATATATAAACATAAATTGCATCAATTGCCCTAGTTTGTCCTTGCAACTAATAAAACTCTTCCAATTTATAGACCTGGAAGAGTCGGATTTGATTCAAATTTCGTTCGACGTATGAACAAAGGTGTAAGTAACCTAGCTAATGCCTATTGCCTTAAAATAATGAACTAATATTGCGACTTTGATAATTACAGCCTGATTATAATTATTATATTAATTGTAATCTTTAGACTGCTCACTATCGGTATCGTGTGATGTCATCAGTACACTACGACTGTACGAGAGAATGCGAGTGTTTCATATGCTAAGTAAATTTTGATTTTTGTGTATTAGGGCAAAAAAATGGTAGTTTTTTTTGGCTCACAGACTGGTACTGCTGAAGAATTTGCTACACGCTTGGCCAAAGATGCCAGACGATATGGATTGAAAGCAATTACTGGAGATCCAGAAGAGTGTGATATGGTAAAATCTGACTATGTTGACGTACCCGATATACAACTAAACATTATGTTGTACTATAATAATAAACAATTTTTATTTTTGAAATTACGATGCCTATCAATGCAAAAAAATCTTAAATGTCATCATTAACATGTACTTTACAGGAAGAATTAGAAAACATGGGGCAGGTAGAAAACGGCTTTGCTGTCTTTTGCATGGCTACATATGGTGAAGGAGATCCTACTGACAACTCTCAAGAATTTCATGATTGGTTACAACAGGATGGACACAATCTATCAGATTTAAAATATGCGGTAATAAAAAATAGAAACTGAAAATTTCAAAATTAGTTAAATCATGCATCCGAACTATTTCTAACTTTATGACTACGAGATAATTATCTAATAGTAGAATATCTACTTAAGATGATGATCATAATATTTAGCCGTTGTGTTACACTTAGGTATTTGGATTAGGTAACAAGACTTATGAAAACTATAACACAATGGGAAAATATGTTGATAAAAAATTGTCTGAATTGGGAGCAGAGCGCATTTTTGATCTAGGACTTGGCGATGATGACGGAAAGTAAGCTGATAAGATATATTAGCCATCATTGACATATAATTACAACTAAGTACTAACTTTAATTTATATTGACAAGGTAAAGCAATGGGTTACATTATCATTACGTATTACATACCATACACCAAATATTTAGTACTGATTTCACATTTATGACATTTGTGTAAAGTATTGAGGAAGATTTTGTCACATGGAAAGAAAAATTTTGGACATCTATCTCTGAAAGATTTGGATTAGAGCCACTAGGCGAAGATACTGTGTAGGGATGATTTTCGACTGCTGCAGATTTTACTTTACTGTTACTACTTTAAAGTTTAATAATTAGAGCTTGTTTATCGTCTTTGGCGGATATAGGCTTAGAGAATATAATCTCGAAATTCATGATGATATGGCTAGTGACCAAATTTTTACTGGTGAACCCCAGCGACTACACAGTTTTCAAAAACAAAAGAGGTTGGCCCTTCAACTCGAAAATATTTTTAATTTACTGACAAATGATGAAAAGCGAGCTAATAGTATATCTTATCGTTACAAATTACGTTTATAGTAATATGAAAATTAATATCTTACACGACTTCTATATTCTTCTAATATTACAGACCATTTGATGCTAAGAATCCTTTCCTAGCTCCTATAAGGGTCAACCGAGAGCTACACGAAGGAGGCGATCGATCTTGCATGCATATCGAACTTGACATTACTGATTCCGGGATCAAGTAAGTAGAGCAATACCTTACGTCTCAATTTATTATACTATAAATAGTATAATAGACATCGCTATGGCTTTACTTTTAGTCAGAAAATTCTTAATTTTGATTGTATGTAAAATAGATATGAAGCTGGCGATCATGTTGCAATTTATCCAAAAAATGACAGCGAAACAGTAGAACGAATTGGTCAACGCTTGAACGTTGACCTAGATACAGTCTTTTCTCTTAAAAACATTGACGGTAATACAGATATATGCACATATAATACAGTACTAATCACGTAAGAGAAACATTCTACTTATTAATATTGAACTTTTGTGACAAAAATGTTTAGAGGAAGCCAGCAAACAACATCCTTTCCCCTGCCCATGTACCTATCGTACTGCCTTAACCTATTACGTAGACATAGCTGGCGTTCCTCGTACGCACGTTATTCAAGCGCTAACTGAATTTACTGAAGATCCCAAAGAGAAAGAATTTTTAAAACTACTAGCTAAACCGACACCTGAAGGAAAGGTATGATAATACGACATTGTTATTGCCAACTTTGGAACTGGATACCCCAATTGACAAGTTTTCGTCCTTCATTTCTCAGAAAGAATATAGTGAATGGATTTTAAAGGGCCAAAGAAATATACTGGCTGTCTTAGAGGATTTACCATCATTGAAACCGCCCCTAGATTTGATTCTAGAGTTGGCTCCCCGCCTCCAAGTTCGCTATTATTCGATATCATCTTCCTCTAAAGTACGTCCAGTGCAAAATATAGTCTTTGATGTTAAACCTTATGACTATTTGCATATTGCTAGCTAGTATATCAATTTACATTATTGTTTCTTTTGCAGGTCCATCCCACTGCAATTCATGTAACTGCCGTCTTGGTTAATTTTACTACAAAAACTGGTCGCGAATATAAAGGAGTTGCCACAACTTGGTTGAAAAATCTAATACCTAATGGTAAAATACGTCAGATAACCAATTTCAGATATTGTTCACTTACTATAAATTATAATAAATAATAATATATTTTGTTACTCGTTTAGATGAGAATCCTCCTCGTGTACCAATTTATGTTCGTCGATCTCAGTTTAAGTTACCGAGAAAGCATCAATTACCAATTCTAATGATCGGTCCTGGAACGGGTTTGGCTCCATTTAGAGGATTTATTCAGGAAAGGAACTTTCAGAAAAAGCAAGGTCATGATTTAACAATATCATACATGAGTTGCAAAATTTTTCTATCGCTACGACATTTATAGCTCATCACCTTTTCAATTGCAGATAAACCAGTTGGAAAGAGTGTTTTATATTTTGGCTGTCGTAACAAAAAAATCGATTACCTATACCAGAATGAATTGACTGAATTTGAAAATGATGGAACACTCTCAGCATTGCATGTAGCATTTTCACGAGATCAGGTAACTTATTAGTTTCTTTATAGGAATTATATGATTTTCCTTAGATTGTTATAAATTAATTTGGATTTACTGTTGTATACTTCAGAATAAAAAGGTATATGTAACCCATTTATTACGAGAAAATACTGAAGAGCTGTGGAACGTGATTAATGATGGGGGTCATATATATGTCTGCGGGTATGTCAGTAAACTTTACATTTCTATATTATAATTATGAGAGTGCCTTCAATGGTCAAGCTACCGGTATTCAAGTTATAATGGTATGTACGTGTATTTTTTTTAGTGACGCTAGAAATATGGCTCGTGATGTTCATCAACTACTTCTGGACGTTATTAAGACAAAAGGTAATAAAACTGCTTCAGAAGCAGAAGCCTTTGTAAAGAAGATGTCCTCACAAGGTAAATACTCTTGCGATGTCTGGAGTTAAAAGGAGCTGTCAATGATACAGCAATATCAAGACTTGAAGATTGCCATTGACTATTTTACTCGTATTTAATCAATTGCTACAAATACTTGCATTTTGACAACCCTGGTATTAGGATTTAGTAATTGTATTGTACTGTAAAGGTATAGAGAGTACGTATCATATAGTACTAGGCCATGTCATGCTATTATTTGAATATATTGCAGAGGCCATATCATTAATAACAATAATAATGATTATACTGGAATTGCTGCATCATAACAAAGGCAGTTGTCATGCTTGTCATGCCTTAGTGTCAGGCTTTTTTTATTCCTTAAAATTTTAATCGATATCGTAGCGTAGTTGTATTGATTCTGTTAGTGATAATTGATTTATCACCCGACGATTCTGTCGTCGGCATAGCTGTTTGACACCTCTTCTAATACTACTGATTGTTATTATTAGCTATTAAAAAAATTTTGAACTAGCCAGTGACTCGTACGTGTTACTGCGGGACACTACCAATAATGATATGCCTAGGCTAATATTATTAGACTCGTATGCAACCTTGAAAGAGTCTCAATCTGCTTGTCGACATTAAGGCCATAAGCCTTTGCTCAATTTCTAGTCCTCTAAGTTCATCAATCAATACCCTAGTCCGAAGAATGGGGAGTTTCCCATGAGCTTTTTTCCACTCTACAGCACTATACTGTCTATCCAAATTCCACAGTACCGTAGTACCGTAACGTCACCACTAGAGTACAGTATACTGTAGCTACATCTTCCCACTGTACGGTATAGTACTATACATACGCAATCACTACCATGCGGACAGTGAAATACATTGCATGGGCAGCGTGCCACCGTATGGCTGGACTGGCTTACCGCACCGTGTGAAACCATGCTTTCTGACTTGAACATTTTTGGAAATCGTAGTAGCAAGTGGCAACCTCGCGAGGTAAGCGGAGCTAATGGCGAAAAGTATTCGATCCAAGAGGAGAAGGTATTTTCGGGCTGTTAAGAGAACGAAAACTATAGAAAAACAAAACAAACTTCTTGAAAATGCCGTTCAAAATATGAAAAAGTCAGTGCTAGACCAAGACAATGCCAAGATGCAATGTGATTTCACAAAAGGTGATGATGATTAGTAATGTTTGAATGATGTCTTACTACGCAGCAGATTCGCTTTAGCTTTGATGTGCATGAAATGAAAGTTTGTAGACTTATTCCAACTAGTCACAGCTTTTACTTGTAATATGGTATGATGAAATTTAGGCCATGTTGTAGATGGTGTGTTAAAGTGCGATTCTGTATTACGGTATACAGTACTGTACTGTATAGAACATACGATATGTCAGAAGGAAAAATAGTCCATTCTTCAATCGTACTCGAGACTTAATTCTTCTGATGCACGAGCGCATCAATTGAAGTAGTTGCAGTTACAGTAAGAGGTATATAAATACCTAGTGGTATAAGTTTCCTAAATTAGACCATTTCAGGCTTTATCGTGTATTTCTGTTGTCAAAGTTATGTACAATGCAAGTTTCCTTGGTGAGCTATATCTAAATATCATTTTCTTGCTTATTCAAAAAGATAACGAAAGGCAGATGGATGTCAATGACGAAATGAGTCAAACATCAAAATCATCCAACGCAGCGAAGAAGAAATTAAAAGCACAGAAGAAACTTAAACGCTTAGGAATCAAAAAGAAAGGAAAAACTAAAGTCTTTGTATGGTAGATGTACAGTAAAGGTCTTCAACTGGGGATTGAACTTACAGATTCATGTATAGCACAGAGAAAAGTGGGCACATATCATTTGTAATTTCGATTTATTTGTATTATATTTCTACTGTACAATATGTACATTAACATTGAATGACAGTAATTGCTGAAATAGAATTTACAACATTACTACTACTGCTACATAATTGTCAAACCAAATAAAAAATTAATTCCTATTGCCAAGGAGCAAATGTAAAATCGCGTTGAAACTTCTTGCCTATAATAACGAATTAATTCATTGATAAATACTGTATTGATGAAGACCGATTCGTTATAACCTAGACCCAATAGCACATACAATAGATGAGATGTTGTCAATTTTGCAACTTTTGGAAATAATGCAGTGGCCATAGGACTACATGATAGTAACTGGTTATCTCAGCAACATATTCATTATCCAGTTATCGCGTTGTACATTTAAAAGATGATTTACAACAGTCCATTCCTATTTTTGCATACAGTACATAAGAGATAGAAACTACTACATGTGATCCCCTATTCTAGCAGTCCGAGAACAGAAAGGAATGTGTATGTTATATATATATATATTAGGACTCTGTTACTTTGCAATCAACTCTATATACCTTACAAATGTTTCACTATCGTTACTAGCGAAAATTGAATCAATCAAGAACCTAGTGTTCATCATTCTGCTAATAGTAACAATCACACAGTACGCTGAGTATGGTAGTGTCTCATTGTAAGCTAATCACGCACAAATTATCATGTTGCATTGAGTACATAGTTTAATCGACATAATTCAATTTTAGTAAACACAATATAGAATAATAAGAATACTCAATTTCTACTAAAGCAAAGATACACCAAACAGCCATCGACAGCACAGTATTTCACGCTTTGCACATACGCTTTATCAAGCATATGATCCATGTAGTCAAGCCATGATCATGATCCATCGGCTATAGCGCTTGGTTTGGTGTGGCATGAACTTTAAGCTCTTTTGTTAGCAGCATCATCTTGCATGGATAACGCAGTTAATCTTTTACCAATCTGATCATGAACTTCTAGATATTTTGCAACACAACGATCAATACAAATGGATTCTCCCTTATTCAATTCTGCTTCACGATACTTTGCAGGAATGCACTTTTTCTGGCAAACGTTGGTCATCCTGTGGCAATGGATGGTCAATATCCAGAGTCAATTTAATGCTCATAACAAGTCCCACAAAAATAATCAGCTCACCTATTGTACATATCTGTCATCATTTCTATTTCTAATCCAGCTACCATTTCCATTTTAGCTTGTTCGTCTAAATTGTTGATATTGCCAGCCATGATGGTTGATTGGAATCTACTCTTTCTATCACTTTAAATCAATTACTGGCCCAACTTGCCTCTACTGAACCCAATCATTAAAATGGCACCTGTGGCTTATGCCTGGACAGCCTGTAGGCTTGTAGCATTTCAGTACCCCTTATACTGTACACTGTACAGTATAAGGGGACAGGGTAAAACATCCATCTGAGCAGCCAGAGAGGTTTTCTACCATACCATGTGCTTTACTGCGCCTGCGCGTTGTCGAGAACTCGGATACCGTACCGTACCCTTTCAGACTTTTGAAAGCTTCTTTCTTGAAGTTTCCTGGCATACAATAGACTTACTATTTACACCTGTTCAAGTATAGGCACTTCCATACAGTAGCACTATTGACTGTTCGGTTTGAGTGGCGAAATATGGCCGAGTATTCCTTGATCATGCCAACACTGTTAATTACAAATCAAAGCAAATCTAAAAGCCATCTTTGATTTTTAATACTTAAAAAAGTTAAAAAGGTAGAAGAGATTTTTCTGATGAGCAATTGACATTATTGTATTGCTCATACAGTTATCGGTTTGAGTGGCGAAATATGACCGAGTATTCCTTGATCATGCCAACTCTGTCAATTACAAATCAAAGCAAATCTAAAAGCCATCTTTGATTTTTAATACTTAAAAAAGTTAAAAAGGTAGAAGAGATTTTTCTGATGAGCAATTGATATTATTGCTCATACAGTTATCGGTTTGAGTGGCGAAATATGCCCGAGTATTCCTTGATCATGCCAACACTGTCAATTACAAATCAAAGCAAATCTAAAAGCCATCTTTGATTTTTAATACTTAAAAAAGTTAAAAAGGTAGAAGAGATTTTTCTGATGAGCAATTGTCATTATTCTCAATAATTTCTACAGTATTGACTTTAAGAATAATTAATATCCATTTTCCTCTCTACCTCTATGTGCTGTACCCGCGTCCGAGTGTCCGATCTCGAATCCCGTCCAAAAAATGAATGAGAATAGTTGATTTACAATGTAGCTTAGGGAAGCAGCTTTGCTTTATTAGCAGGGTCTCCAATGCTGACTACCGTCGTTATTTAGACATAGAGCGACACAGAATGAAGGGTAATTTATTTATTGTATTAACCCTTGAGTACAAGGCACTATGGACTAGTGTTCTGCAAAATACCAAAATGATCACTTGCTACATTTTAGCCGCTATCAACTGCATCTTCTTTTAGTCGCATTTTGCGATTGCTCTCAACATGCACTGTCTGTCTGCAACTTATGTACAGTATAGCAATCTTTGACGAATTCCGTCCAAAAAATGAATCAATAGTTGATTCACAATGTAGCTAGTCAAGCAGCTTTGCTTTATTAGCAGGGTAATGATGCTAACTACCGTCGTTATTCAGACACAGAGCGACACAGAATGAACGATCATTTAATTCTTGTATTAACCCTTCAAGTACAAACTACTATGGACTAGTGTTGTGCATTGGGAGTACTGCAAAAATACCTAAATAATCACTTTGTACATTTTAGCCGCTACCAACTGCATCTTGTTTCTAGTCGCATTTTGCAATTGCTCTCAACATGCCCGTCTGCAACTTCTGTGCAGCAACCTTTGACTTGACTTTAACTCATCGTACATATATTGCATCTCTTGGATTTCCATCCAGCTCAGTTTTCGTGCGGGCTATCGATAGCGTAACCTTTTTGCAAAACTCTCATACTGCCTAGAATACCTAGTAGTCATCCTTGATAACACAGTCAATATCGATTTATTTATGATTAATTACACGACAGTAAACAATTTTTCATTTTCTATCCAAATCGTAACACCCACAAGTACTTTGCACTGACATTTGCATTTCTCGATGCCTTCCTTATGCGACGAGAGGCGGTATGCAAACTCCATATTTCAATACGAAATATGGCGCTATTAGGCTTAGCCTACCCATTTCAAGCGAGCGATTTAATATTACTTTGCATAACGCCTTGCTGATCAATAATAATAGTAATCATGATTTCCATTGACTAAAAATCCATGCAGCCATGATGCAGGTATATCCAAAATGATCGCATTGGGAAACCATATTAGGTTAACTAATCCAACAGTTTTCCTTGTTGACCAATAACTCGATGCTGTTGCCTATTGACCCGATATCGTATTGAAGTAATCAGCCAGAGTAAATAAGGTAATAATAATAATAAGAAGAAGAAGAAGAGGAATAACACCTATGAGTTCGATTGCGGTACCATGACGGCGCGTTTTCTTTCCCGGTGGCTAGCGGTGCTATCCAAAGCATCCAATACGCTGGTATAAAAGGATTGAAAATTACATTTCTCTTTTCCGTAACACCGGAAAAACCGATAGTGATAGAGTAGAAATACCAAGAGCAAGAATTCGTGGACTTGATCATCCTAGTCAAGCAAAGAGGAATCGCTATGGACAAAGTGAAGACAGGATCGAGTAGAAGTAAGAAATGTTGTAGGAGCGCAAAGAAACGACTTGCAGTCGCACTAATTGCCATGTCCGAGGAGGATATTAATGCCTACCATATCCAACTGTCTGGTTTTACTGTAAAAGAATGCGAAGAACTGGACGAAAAAATAATGAAATTAGGCGCCAAATTAGATAAATTGGTAGGCAATCCCTACAAGAGAGTTTTGTTCTCTCTAGTCTATCTTTCTCTACCATTCGATCATCCTTAATCCATGTGAACTGAATCGTAAACAACCAATACCTAGTGTAGTCGAGTCTGAGCATGGATTACTTTGAGTCATTGATGATCTGAAATGAAGAATGAATATCCAAGCTAATCGGCCATCATGGCTGCTAACCTGTCAGCACAAGCGATCGTATCAAGTGTTTGCAATTTAGTTATTGCGCGATCGGTATGCTCAACAAATCTGTCCAATGATTGCCAGTAACAGTAAAAAATTTTTCTTGTGCAAATACCCTTAGTAGAATGAAGACGATCTGAAATGAATAACGAATATGCATGCTAATCGACAAGGATTACTTTCAATCGGCCATCATAGCTACTAACTTGTAAACACAAGCGATCGGTATTCTAAACAAATCTATCCAACGATTGCCAATGACAGCAAAAAGTTTCTCTTGTACAAATACCCTTAGTAGAATGAAGATAAATATGCATGCCAATCGGCAAGGATTACTTTCAATCGGCCATCATAGCTACTAACCTGTAAACACAAGCGATCGGTATTCTAAACAAATCTATCCAGCGATTGCCAGTGACAGCAAAAAGTTTCTCTTGTACAAATACACTTAGTAGAATGGAGCATGCATGCTAATCGGCAAGGATTACTTTCAATCGGCCATCATAGCTACTAACCTGTAAACACAAGCGATCGGTATTCTAAACAAATCTATCCAATGATTGCCAGTAACAGCAAAAAGTTTTTCTTGTACAAATACCCTTAGTAGAGTGAAAATGATCTACAGATCAAACAGCCATGATCACGTCTTGAATGCACCCTACTTATTTTTAGCATGTTTTCTACCTTATATCGTCAACTGCAACTCTATTTTTGACACTGAAATTAAATAACGTGACGTAGTATTGATTATCAAATTTGGCGCTCACACTGTTTAAGAGAAAAAAGAAACTTGACAAGCGAACGTTACTAACTTTTCCATCGATGGATTGATTCTATGTTTACGATTAGCCTTTTGGCTCTACTACCACCCATCTTATTTGCAAAAGACCCACACGATCAGGAATATTTGTTGGAGCTTGTGCTAAAGGTACAGTAAATCAAATAACTTGTGATTTTATATAGGAGTATATACACATACATTTGCACGAGAAGCAGATAAATTTCTGCATTCGATTCAATAGAATGTGCAAACTTCATTAAAGTCTGATCATTATAATTATTGCAGCTGCCACCAATCGAGCTCCGAACTATGTTAGAGTACTTCGATTAATAAAAGCGAAACAGTTGAGCTTCAGAAAATGTCTTGTATATTCCTCTACTATGTCCTAAAATATTAAGTCAGTCCCGCTGTTAGGATAGTTGACCACTTGACGAAGACGTTTTTACTAAGACTAGCAACTACCATAGAAGTAGATTGATCCCCTTGGTATCCAACAGTAGAAAAATATAGAAGCGCGACTTGAACGTAAATGGTCGTATTCCCTTTCTATATACTACTCTCACTTTAATGCGGTAATAAGCTTATGCATAAATACACTTGCTACTAAAAGCGATAAAAGGTGCTCTCTACAGTACACTATATTTATTATGGAAGACGTAGTCTTCAAGTTGCAATCTGTATTAGCAGATATCGTATATGGAGAGCCTGAAATTCTGTAGCATTGCCACTGGGCTCTAACAATTTGCAAGCATCGTGTACAGTCTAATTTATATCCGCTTTCTTACCTTAATCTGTTTTGGTGCTTGCCCGTTAGGGATTTGGATTTTGAAAAGGTCATTCATCGACGATAGCGAGAAAGTCGGCCGCTGGCTTGACGAAAGTCAGTTCGAATGGTCGTCAAATGATGCCAAACATTATCCATTTGTTGAAAAAAACCTCTTCCATGCTCCAAAATTTTGGAGAGAAGCTAGGTCCCGAAATTACCTACCATTTGAAAAGTGTACTGTCGTGATTTTCTGTAACGATGAACAAAAGCTTCGAGGCTACCAAAGGTATCGAGATATAAACTATATTTCTAATCAATAGCAAATCAGCATTAGGTCATGTCGGCCACCGTTGAAATACTTTGAAGATTCCTCGGTTTTAATACGGAATTCTCCAACTTGAATGGATAGCGTTTTAGATATCGGTGGAGCGAGGGTAATGACGCGTGAAGAATTCGAAGAGAAGCCAAGGACAGCTAATTTCCTCTTCTTCGAGCCGAATTGCAAACAATTTGTCGCCAAATACGAAAAGATCGTTCCGCAAATCCATCAGACTGATAGTATTGCCGATATCATAATAAATCAGGTATTTTTCCAGGGTTTGGTATGCTGTATTAGAGCTTTCGTAACACATTGCCTAAGTTAGGAATTGGTGTAGTGTTATAATAATACTGTAGTAATTTAGGATAGGATAATACGTCGAACCCTTTGCTAACGTTAGATTGTATAAAAGATATTGCGGTAAACACATCGAAAGGCAGTTTTATATCCGACCTAGTGTGCAGTACAGTAATCGTATATCAGATGATAACTGCTTGATTACACATATAATTTCCCTTTATTTAGTGCTTACCCATGTAGATATCGCAAGATGGAGAAGTCTTTCCAGTAACTTTAACCCACTGACTACTCAGCTGCACCTATTTTAATCTATTACTTTATTATACGCAAATGTTACTTGCAGAAGTGGCTGCTGCCTTCAAAATTTGAAAGAAATCAGTAGCCCTATCTCTAATTGCGTCTCATCTGATTTTTAGGCCTGTAATGAATCAGCTACATTAATGACAAGGCCAGCTTTTTTTAGCGAAGGGATTGATCTACCACGACGTAAATATTTCAATCATCATTTCTTATACTTGAAAAGATTGCTAGTTTATGCTTACATGAGATCATAATTAAATGACCGTTGATGCTCTTGGTATTACCACTGTACATAAAAAAAATATGCGATTGTTTCCTATTGATGTTGTTTTATTAACGAATATCTTTTACGATAATGCAAATAGACTTAAATTGAGGCTACTGTAGCAAATAGGTTTTTGTTTCTTATCCGTATCATACTGCTTTCATTTTTATAACTTAATTTTGCATCCTAATTCGGCAATACGTTTATGCCGTTACCTCAGCCTCAACAGGGAAGAAGCGAAGATTAGTAACCGATTCACGTAATAGGAAGCGAACGGACATGATTGAAAGTTGTGGATTTGACTATTCAAGAAGATTAGTTCGCCCAAGTAGTCTCCGAATACCAGTCAATAGGCAGCAAGACCAAATATGTCGCAATCGACTTTTTCTTATTCATACAGAAGAACAAGTATACTATTATCAATTTACTAGACTCGATAGTGTCATTTCTATGTTGATGTAAATATAGATTAATCATTTGTGTTAGGTACATAATCGCCAGCGCCAGAATTATAATCCGATGCCCGTCGATGAAGTAACCTTATTCGAGAATCATCTTTATCACAAGCATTACCATTCAGCTATACAAATCATTAAAAATTGTATGATACAATTTTATCCCACTTCGGTAGTACTTCGTGCATTGGTCCAAAGCTTCATTATGGTAAATACGCACTAATAACTCACTATTCTTATTAATTTTTATGGGTATATTTGCCATAACGTTATTTGCTAAAATTATACATAGATTTCATTTTATCTAGACGTCTCCTTTCAAATAACTATCTCGCTATCATGTACTGTCTATAGGTGAACGAGGATGATGCCCTTCAAAATGAAGGATTTTCGCTATTAATGGAATGCCTACGCCGCTATCCACCGACCTCAGCAGAGTTGAAAAGAGAATACAAGCTATCGCTTTGCCCCTCTATTCATTGTTCAAAGAAATACACTCCAGATAGTATCTCAACAGAGATGTGGAGATTTATTATAGAATGTATCGACAAGTATGTTGAATGGCTTTGTAAACGACTGGACTTCAAATCATTTTAATAACTCAATCTAAAACTATGTCTAATTACTACACTTGTTCAGATTTTTAACAGGAAACGAAAACAATAGTCATGTAATAATTTTACGTTTCATTGTTAAACTATTATGGACGGATTACAAAGCATTCTTTAACAGCTCGTAAGTTAATTTGAGACACATTTGTACAATCGATGATAAATCTAATATACTGTTAAGCGAGAATATTCACCCTGACTGAACGCAGTCCTATCGCGCTAATTTCCAATACTGTATTCTCTGATCACTATAGAATTATTAACACGAAAGAAAAGAGTAAGCAGCCAATTATGTTTTCACTACTTTGGCCCTATCATTACCAAACGCCTTGTGCGTGCGACAAACATACAGAACTATTAAATGCCTTTCTATCCCTATACGAACGAAACCCGAATTTTTCATCCGAAGCTGTATGTCCTCATTCCTCAAGCATTCAGATGCCTACATAGATATGCTTTCAAACAACTGATTATAATTAGTTTCATTCTATTTATTTAAACCATATAATTTATAATTGGTCTCATTCTGTTTAAACCTACATCTTACAGTTGCTTATATTTTTGGTCGTATTTCATTCAGGTATCAATGGTATACTCCATATACCTACTATCCATTGATTGCTGCTATGTAGCAGATCAGTACCCAAAATCATTCCATCAATCCGATTGGCAACCATTCCTTGGTGAACAAGGGCTATCACTTGCTATCAAATTAGCTGGAAGAACTGATCAGATGAAATGCAGCCACTCTAAATTGAATTTGATTAACAACATACCACTCGATTGGCTCACTGCATGTGTTTGCGAATTTATATTGCTAACATTTGATGGAAGTAACGCAATTGTCAAAACAAGTGGAAAGTTAACGAACGAATCTTTGTCGCTTCAAAAAGTGGTAAATGTGTTATTGTAAATTTTGACTGGTTTTAATCGTAATTGCAATAATCCGTTCTAGCTGATGATAAATATTATTTTGTTGGTATATGTATACGTGTATACAGCTGAATTGTTACTTCCAATTAGTTCCGTATGGCCGTAAAATAAAATCGAATGATTTTCAGAAAGTGCAATTTAAAATTCCTCAAAGGTAAATTTAAATACAATTTTAAACATGAATATAACCTGCCAGTAAATATCTTACAAATAGGCAGAACGGCATCTTTCACATTTTAACCTATTCATGTATGATGCCAGGCAGTGCTGATAAGCTAATTCTGTATTACAGCTCATCAATAGCTCGATGCAAGCGTGTTAAAGGAAATTTAGAGAAAAGAAATGCAAAGGGTACTATACTATCAGAGTGGAGTCAATATGAAGAAAGTTTAATTTACTGTTTGCTTTGCTATTTCCTTCCCAACATATAAACTGTTCATCGATCTTACTCGTTCTTTCTTCTTGTACGGTGTTGTCCAGGAGAGACGAAACTTCACCTTGCTTGTAAACGTAATGAAGTTAACAAAATTAAGAAATTAATTGTAAGTGGCACCGATGTTAATGCATTAGATAACTGCGATTGGACTCCACTTCATGAAGCCTGTAATCGTGGAAATACTGAAGCTGCTAAAGCTATGATTAAATTGAGTCAAAAATTAAATAAAAATCATAACATGGTTGCCTCTGGTGACGGAGGCGTTACGCCTATGCATGATGCTATTCTAAACGATCACTATGAAGCTGCTGTAGTATTGCTTGAATATGGTGGTATGTATTTTTAAAATTTTCAAAAAAAGAAGTGGTAAATATTAAACAGTATACCCTAGATGAGCGATTTTCTATATAATTGTAGGTCCTCTTTTTTTAACCCACCAAGGTTCCTGCGATGTTACACCATTGGAACTTGTAGACGAAGAAAAGAAAAAAAAGAGGCTAACATCCATAGCTAACGACGTAGGATATAAATCTTACATTGTCCAAGTTGAGAGTTGTGAACTATATTTGACGAGCCTGACTTGTCTGATTGATATTCTGATTACTCAAATGATTGTACAAGAACCTACAATAAATTCGGGCAACGACGATGAAATTTGCATTGTTGGAGTGATTAATGAGGCTAGAACTCAAGCTCCGAGTGTACGGTCACCAGGCAATACTTTGCGTACAGTATTTAATAAACTCTCAGACCTAGAAAGTCACGTTCTGGCAATCATTGATGGCAAAAAGTTAACAAATGTCTGCAAGCAAAATCTAGCAAGGATGAAGTTGGATGTGTGGCATGCAATGAGGATTTTACGAAATAATTAAAGTACAATTTTATACGAAATTTCTGGAATGTTGCCAATACGAATAAAACACCCCATGGATATTGCAAACGTAATAAACTAGTAGATGAATACGCTAGATTCGGATAAATGTCATCAATCCCGTTTCTAAGGAATAGCTGAAGTGTTGGAGAAACAAAAAGCCGATGTTTTGTATTTTAAATTCATATTTGCATATACTTTAGACCATTTTATATTGTAGAATTTTATGCAGTTGACCAAGACTGATATGTTGTGTTTTAATTCGACGTCTAAATTATATTGTTTTCATTCTTCCTTATTACGTCAGTTTTTATGATTATACATATTGCAATAAAGAGCTAGACTATATAAATACAGTACATGGTATATGCACAATCGCTGTAATAAACGAATAGTAGAAAAAACTATCATATTTGCAGTAATTGATTGGAGTCCATACGTGATCATGTGATGTATCCCTCTATGATATCTATGGATAAACTAATTTTGTCTGATGGTATCCTTCATGCCGGACAGTATCTTGAGGTGCATCCTCTATTACGACATATTATATTTTCATCCATCTAATATTATACGTACAGCACATCAAATCGATCATATTCGTAATTCTTCTATCTGGTGATTATAGAAATAATGAGCAGATACGATGGCAAATATCACTTCCAGCCACGCCTCCATCCATATTACATGTCCCTACCTACTTCTCATTATTTTGGATTAGCTATTATGTTGTATAACATACAGTATATATCAGCATATATAGGCAATTTGGCATTGCTAGCATTGACTTCAACACATATACTGTATACAATATATATCAAAATATTTACTGCAATACTTACAACAAATGATTCTGTACAACCTTATCCTACCTAGACTAATAAATATATATACGATCATAACATCTTTCCAGTTATATCTACAACTTTATTCGGGTATCAATTCTACCTCCACCTTTCTTGATATTAGCATAAATTGCCGCCCCATGAAGACGATTGGAATCAGCAGCACGCATGCTTAATTTTCGGCCTTTATTTTTCTTATTTGGAATCCATATTATTGAGTAGCCAATCACAATGAATATGGACAAGGTTATATAGGTACAACATTATTATTTCCATATACTATTTAACAGTTTATTGTTATTAATTGTTAATAGGATTGATTGCTTCCTGGGCCTTTCTAGCTTGCAGACAAAGGCTAAGCTGACCCTTTGCTAAGATTCTAATTCAATAAAACGACAGCCATTCAACTATTTTTTCATATTGATTCCAATTCGAATTGGTTGGATTGGCTTCTGTTCAATCGGCATCAGTATCCAATCTTGCAAGATTAGTTTGCGGATAGAAGAAGAATTTACTTGGACATCGAATTTGTGCTCGGTTCGATTAATTATTACTTAATCTTCGACATTGGATTATTTGTCGCTGATATCCTATAGTCTTATTGTTATTTATCCTTTTCTTCTAGAAGTAATAAAATTCGATATTTTACCTTATTCTGAGTCGTTTACAATTGCAATGGTTTGGAACTATACTGATCAAGGTCTTACATCAAATATCGATAAGATAATTGCTTAATTCTTATTTATACTGTAAGATCGTGCAGATTATCCTACAATTTAATAGATTCCATCAAAAGGATCGGTAAAACTAACTTATCTTATTCTATTCTTAATCGATGCTAGGTCCAGAAAAGTGGCATAACGATTATCCTCTTGCTAATGGTCATTACCAATCTCCAATAGATATAGAATGTAGCCAGCAAATCTTTCAACAAGATTTACTTGATCATCCACTGAAAATCACTTATTCTCCATGCTCGGATAGCCTACTCACCAACACGGGTTCTTCCTTTATGGTTGCTCTTGGTCAAGATTGTGGTCAGTAAAATGATAACTAAGACATTAATCTTCGTTTAAAGAAGCAACCATTACGTTTGCATCAGTTCTTTATCCCTCACCAATTTTAAAGTTTCTTTTTTTACTGTATTTATCTATTACAACTTCTTTTTAATTACTTACTGAATAAGTAATACTAGATCATGGCAGATCTAGTTACGTCTACTCTTATACAAGAAATGTAGAACAGTATGAGTCAAATTGAAATGTTGAAACAGTCCAAATCATGTGCTTGTAATAATTGCAACCCATCTTACTGAGAAAAAATCAAGATTTCCAAGTTAATATCAGTCAATGAATAGATTAAACTAAATACAGTACATCTACCTATACATGATAAAATGTTAGCGATTTATAATCCTATCCACCTATCATTTATGTTTAATTTCGCCTTCGATAATGAAGAAAAAGTTAAAATATCGCCCCAAAAAACCATCTACAGTTCATCAATAGACCTTCGTCTGCACATGTATATGACATTTACAGTAGCTAAGAGATGGATACGAATAAGAACGATATGCTGTATATGACATTATAAATCTTCTGCTCTCATTGATAATTTCAGCAAGATAAGCTAAAACATAATTAGATAGAAAAGCAAATAAGATGACTGCAGCATCCACTCAATATCATGTCTTCGTAATCATCATCAAATAGCCGGAATTATTCCCTGTTGATCATGACTATTTGTTTTACGTAGTCATCTCTTTCATTTGCAGCTTATTGATATGGAGATAGATTATATCAATAACGTGATAAATGTTTACTCTTTCCTGATCTTTTTTGCCCTGATATTATCTATCACGAGATAGGATACAACTCTAACTTAGAGATCGACAATTTAGACGATCGGCATTTGAAAACGCAGACCTCATTTTAAGTACCTACCCCATAATCTAAACGACAAGATTAATCCTTGCTGTATTATTACAGTCTACAGAATAATTGATTGGCATAGAATAGCATCATACGATACCTGGGGTAAATCTAAAGACATATGTATTACTCATTGGGTAATAAAAACTTTCAACAAGACTTGAGACAAGTAGATCAAACTTGGATTTAAATTTTTAAGCGTAAATTAAAATGACTAAATTAATTCTCTCTATCTATCTCTGGGTCGAAATAATTCGTTATCATCAAGTAAAGCTACGATCTAACACGTATCTAGAGTGGTTTCTGAGGCTGTGATAGGTCAAAAAAGTTCCAATATCTTCAGTACTGATACATCTAGCTAATATTGAGATCTACTTTTAACCAATGACTATAAAACCGGAAACTATAAATATAATTTTATATTGCTACACTTTACCTCTAATAATTCATCACCAAAAAATGATATCTAGCAGCAAAAATTTAAAAAGATTTTTGCAAGCCAGGATCATTAAAAACTTTTACTAGTATGGATAAAATTGCATGACTTTGGTCAAAACTTTTCTTAATTTTTAGTATGCATAGGTTCAATAGCCGAAAAAACTACAAAATTGATTCTTGCCCTATATGTTACAGTCTGTATAAATAACTATCATGAAATATAACTGAGATCATATATGCATCGAAAAGATTCTTAGGCAAATTAAATAGAAATAGCAATTAAGTAGTAATAGACTCGAATGATACAGTAAAATAAAGGTTTATAATATGAAGTATTGATTACTACACAAAATAATCTCGGAGGAATATTCTACCTCACCTTTCCCTCTAATATCAGATAAGCTAAGTTGTATATTGCAGAAGGTAAAAATTCTGATATCATCATTGGATAGCTATAAATTTATTTATAGTATAAAGTCCATGGGCGTTGGCCAACACTGAATTACTAACAGTTATTTGTATTAAATAGGATATTTATAATTTCTATCAAGACATTAAATATATTGTCATTACTTAAGACACATCTTAAAAATGAGGGCAAGAGCACTATCATAATTTACTTTATCTTTAATGTTAATTATGTTTCTATTCGTAATATTTGACGTACCATCATTAGCTTAGATGGAGCTTGGTTATTTATCCAAGTAATTGCACCTATCATAAATTTATTTTAACTTTTAAAAAATAATATTCTGCTTCACAAATATCGCCTAATTTATCATAGGTTAAAAGGTAGTGCTTGGCAATTTACCAAAGGTAGTAGCGACAGTTGTAATTTATTTTAACTTTAAAAGTTAACAGTTTCATTTTCACTAGTGATAAGAAGCGTGTCGTGGTGACCTACGAGTAAGACAGAGCATAGCTATTCTGTAGCAGATACTGATTTAGCATAATTTCTAAGAATAATATATTTCATTATCATATGGATCTGACCAAGGAACTATAGCCAGAAAAATTTAGTTATTCGACGATCGAAGTTAAGAAATTAGAAATAATACACGTACATAAGTATAGATTTAGAGCCCTTGCCTATATAAATGGACTATAACGATTAACTTATTCACAATGACAGCCATATCTTTATCAAATATTACATTTATCCATAATTGTATCAAATTTCCAATATTCTCTGCAGAACTATATTACTAATCCAAATAACAAAATAAACCTATCCTGCTTGAGTTTATTGCAGTGGTAAAAAGTAAATATTATTTTGCCTTCTCTAGAGCATCATCGACAAATTGATGTGCGTTATCTAAGGTTGTCAAGTTTCAAGATTTATTTAACGAATTAGAAAAGTTGATATTTTATTAAAATATTCAATACCCGCAAATCTGAACTTATATCTAGATATTTATCGATTGCATACGTCCCAAGGTTATAAATTGCCTGAATTTTAACTAACGATAAAAAATTGACGATCTGATATTAATATCTATGGACCTAAAATCAGCTAACATCTAGATATTTGCTATTTAGATACGATCTTAGCTCGTTTTCGTTTTGCAATACGAAAACTTAGCACCCTGATGTATCGTTATAAATACATTACAACAATTTCAAAACTCTTTTATCAATTTACAGCAGTGTCCTTCATTCATTTTCAAAACAAGAAATTGCTAGTATTTATATATCATACCTTTCGATCACCAGAACAAGGGATATTTAAATAGCTTTTCTCTATTTTTTTTTTATCTTAAACCTGATTATGCCTACTTCAATTTTATTAGACGTAATGCAGTGATAGAACATTCTCCATATAGTATAATCTTAATTAAACTAATCCATCAATTATGCTACTACAATATGATTTGTATAATTCTAGTAATTCAAGATGGACCTCTAAGCTATGAATATGAGCTAGTTCAGTTTCATGCACATTGGGGAAAGGAAGATTATCGTGGCTCTGAGCATACCGTTAATAAGACATCACATGCAATGGAGGTAATTTATAGCAATAGAAATGACTGAAAATACTATTAAATAACGTGAGAGGAAATAATCTAAAACCTAAATTGTAATCAACTCCAAAAATTAATTACTATAGATAGCCTTAGCTGTAATTTTCATTTTAATATCACTTAAAATCTAACGTGAATATAAAATAAACTTCTCTTCTAATCTTATTCTGTATCGTTAATATGAAACAGATTCACTTGGTCCATTGGAATAAAACCCTGTACAAGAATGTCACCGAAGCTTTTAGCCAACCGCACGGTTTAGCGGTAATCGGAGTCTTTACCAAGGTAAAAGCAGCTTCATACTTTATTTTCGATGACTTTTTTATCAACATCGGCCTTCTCATTATTGCAATTATCGTACTGTGTCTACCAAAAAGTACTAAAATTAATTTAAAGTGCTGTATAAATAATTCATAGATAATTATAATTTATTAAGCATGTCTAGAATATCAATGTTGACGTGTATTTTCTCTATTTTATTTACCTCTAGTATATTGCTACATTTCTCATAATTGCTAATAATTCTTGGGCAGATCAAAAGCGTTATAAACTTATTAATATCATGTCATAAATCATTAGCATATTTCTACTAAAAATAAGATGAATTTCGATACACTACAACTCACTAGTTTCTATGTTTGGTTATAATGAATTACCCACTGTAAGCTGATGCAACCGGAGAATTCCTCTACTTATTACCACTTCATCTTCGTTATTATCTCTACTTGATAGTGATCATTAGCTATAAGGAATTTACTGATGAAAGCTGATCTAATAAGAGCATGAATACAGCATAATAGTATTTAAGTATCACTACTTGAGAGTGCATTTTAGTCCAGCTTTATCGTGCTCTATTAATTTGCTAATCAGTGATAAAGTTAGCATTATAAACAATTCTATATGTAGTATCTTGCTCGTATACCACTTTGTCCTATTTATTAATACTATCCGATCAATTGCATGATTTATGCAATGCTTAATCTCTAACACTATTTAATTATACCTCATAGATTGGATCTCATCATGATAAGCTTCAAGCCATTGTTGATCAACTGCATAAAATAACTCATCAGGTAATTTGTTATATCGTATACAAGTAGACAGGTCTTATTATAAATCTCTGTACCTAAACTTTGATTATCATTAGCTGCAAAATTCATAGACAGAGTAATTATAATATTTGCTAATTGAATTTAAATTATAACATGCTTAAATACCCACATACCGTTTATATGATAATTAAGTTACTGTATGCTATACAGCATATCTCGTATACATAAATTATTGTAGTAGTTCCGTTAACTATTTAATAATTCTAAAAATTTCTTGATTCCATAACATATTCTCAATCATTACACAATTATGATTACATAGAAGCATTTGCAATTGACGATCTGTTTTCTCTTTAACGTTATAACTGAATACAGAATGATGAAGCTGTTAAGATTAGCAGTTTTAACCCCGAAGACTTATTACCTAATCCCCAAGGTGAGTTATCTATCTTCCTTTAGATAGACACCTTATGCAATAGACTATCCTACGCTGCAAAAGCTAAATATCGAACATTCAATGATTGATATCCTATAATTAATTTGACTACAAGCAAGAATCTCTTTCTTCATAACTTAGGTCGCAACGCTTACTGGACTTATCAAGGATCTCTAACAACACCACCCTGTACCGAAAATGTTACCTGGATAGTTTTACGAGATCCGATCGAAATTTCCTCTGAACAAGTATGTTAACTATACATTTCAATCCAATATTTACTGGAATATTATAATGATATTCTTGAATAATTTCATCCAAATGATCAGAGTTTAGTTATAACGTCCTACCGACTCTTAAGTATTACGGTATGAATTCACAGCAGGTTATGTTACATAATCATATCAATAGACTCTGATAATGATAGAACAGAATTATACAGTATATCACCTGATATATTACTATACTTTATCAACTTCTGAATATCGTATACAATACCATATTATACGGACTATATGGAAATTAGGCTTGCTCAATTTAAACTTAATTCTCGCATTACCCGTGAAGTTACATATAAAAGGAACTTAGCACCATCTGAGGGTAATCAATAATAGTAGGAAAAGCATCGTTATCAAGTTATACGAAGTAATTCTACATCAACAGATCTTAATAACTTATGTATTGATTTAATTTCCTTGTGGATTCGTTCCAAATAGATTACAGCATTCCGTGATTTACAATCACGCGATGGCAAGATGATGGATAACTTTAGGCCAGTCCAATCGTTGAACAATCGCCAAATTCGATCCACTTTTCGGCCATAAATCAAATACCAATATGAAGACGAATTCAGAAAAATAAAATGTCTATAAAAATCAAATTAAATTTAGTTCTATAAGTTGCCTTATAACTGTTAATCTTTCTCTATCCACAATTTTTCATCCAATAAAGGTACACGTATAATAGCGATAGTAATTTTAGTTAAAGACTAAATGACATTTATATACGCTTTGCAATAGTGGTAATTCCGTTATATGATTCAAATGTTGATTGAAAGCAATAATTTACTCTATTTAAAAATTTTTTATCAAAAAAGGTTCAAATATAATGCTAATCAAATTTACTTGCAAGCTAAGCTAACTTGCATACAGATATGCTTTTACAAGCATAGCCATTGTTATATAATCGAAATTTTCTAAAAATCCTGCTAGACTAGTGCAGTTGAACAAGTTACTTCCGTAGAAATAATTAAAGTGTACCCTGTAGCTTATTGCTAAATACAGATAGAAATGAACTACTGAAAGCAAATTCTATCAAAGCGGTAAATTTACTATAAACTTGTTAAGAATGGTATACGTTTACAGTATCTGATTTACTTCATAATTTTACTTTGCTAGAATTGATTCCATTTTGATTAAGAAGACTTTTGCGCTATAACAAATTAATATCACACACGAAATATACCAATTAAGCAATTTTTTAGGTTGTAGGCGAATAAATCTTATATTACAACCTAGCAAGAATGTTTGCAGGATTTACCAAAAAATCAGTATCAAACACCGATAACTCATTTCACGTTGAAAATTTTTAGTTTCATAACACGGTGAAATTTGGAGGGCAGTAATAATTATAATCAAATTAAATAGAAAGCAATAGCTATTAGCTGAAATTCAGATTATCTATGAGCTATACACTTTCCAACAGTGCAATAATGAACATGTTTTGATAGTTTCCTAATTCTTTCTTTATTGTTGGCAAAACATTAATAATATTTTTATAAGGATACAAGATACAGTACGATAAGTACAAATGGTTTTCATCAACTTAAAAAATAATCTTGTCGGGATACAATTTCGTGCAAGGTAGTACATTGATAGTAGTCGATCGTGAAATACCATAAAAATAACTGAGCAGAAGAAAGAATTACTGTACTATATGGTAGTATCTGAGACATAAAGGAAAGTCAATGCTATTTATACCTTCTTACATAAAGTTGTGCAATTATAATGTCTTTATATGTTCTATTCTAAAGGTGTAAATATCGTTACTTCCCTCCATAGTTCGATTACTGCAGTTATTGTTGATACTTTACATCTAATATGTCGATCTACTATAGTTACCTCTGTATCGAATACGATACTTGTTCCTCAATAAAAATATCTCTGTATTAACTTAATGAAACATTAAGATATCACGTGGATCTAAACATAGTTACTCAATCTAATTTAGCTAGTAACTTGAACTTTTTAACACTATTCGTCCATAACAGGAGATTAGTTAAAATTGACCTTCGGTAAAATTCAAGATTGATGTTTCAATATATGAATGAAATCGAAATTAATAATAAAATCGATCTTTAATCAATATTCAAACGGCAACTCATCTTGTATATAATTATGAAGAATCAGACTTTTCTATGCTACTCTCTCGATACTAAGCTGTAGAAATACGGTAAATAATTTCTCTTGATAGCTTACTTCAAATATACTGTTGATCTAATGTGCAATTACGGTAGTCCTTCTTTAATCCGACATGCCCTATAATGAGTACATCTGATGTAATGGAGTAGCCAACACAACTATTCGTTTAACGAATAGCAATAGCCTAATAAACTTTATAAAAATCTCAATTTTTTACTACCAAGGAGCAGATTGAATAGCTTTACCTAGGAAATAAAACATACATAATTTCTCAATTATATCGTCCGATATGATAACTGACTAATTCCAACATCAGCCACCGATAGGTAATGCTGATGATGCACTAGAATTTGCAGCCATGACAATCACCTGTTGCTTACTAGCTCTAGGCAGATTTTAAGCTTTTCGCCAATTTGCTTTAATTTACAAGTAAATGATGTAATAGCCTTGACTGAATATAACTGGAAAGAATATGATTAAAACACTGTTTTGAGGCTTTATGAAATCTACTCAAATAGATTTAAGATAGGAAAGCGATAATTAAACCCGCAAAGTAGATCGTTGCATCATCATATCGCGTGTGAATAAACCAAGTTGCTATATGAACAATTTTATTCCTCTTCCATTTGACTATAAAATCGACGCAACTTAATTCGAATGATATATAAATTCTCCTTCTACAGAGTTCTTATACATCTACTTTGGCGACATGCCTGTTCCTTGATCTAGGAAGTATTCTAGCCGATTACTTTCGTCTATTACAATTTTTATCCTTCGATTTATGCAGTCGATGTAGCTAAATAGAAATACAACAAAATAAGCAACGGAACAAAAGCATCTCATGATAATTGGTAATGCATACAATTAGATATTCTTACTTCTATCTCAGTGGAATAGGACCAGATAGAATAGCTGAGGCATTGTATTCTTAGTCAATAGAATTATTTGCTCGTTTTTGAATTGACTATAAATAGACGCTAAGCATCAGCTTATGACGCTAAATTGGTAGAATATGAATAAGTAGAGTATTACAATGTCAGAAATAGAATAACTTGTTCTGGTTTATCTTGAACGAATTCGTGCATTCAAGAACTAGCTTATTTCCAATTCCTTCGATCAAAAAAGCGATTAATAATTATAATTGATAGTAGTGCACGATGATGTCTCTACGCTAGGGATTTTTTTCATATACTGTATTAGCCGTTCCAGGAAGACCGTTAGAAGTTTACTATTTATTTATTTATATTCTCTTAGGAGAGATTATTACTTCAATTTTACTTCAACGATCATGAATGATTCGTAGGCAAAATTTTCTTTCTACTTATTATATTCAATTGGCTAAGGGCAGGGTTATCATTGGGTTATATTTTGACCTATATTAAAAACTATGGAAGACGATCAAAAATTGAAATTATTAAATCAAAGTGAAGATTATTTAGATTCTTACGGAAATCAGGAAGCTAATGCAGTCGTGAAAGATCCTGGTGATAATAATGATGAAGAGAATAGAGATCAGTTGTCATCAAGAAGTAAAAAGGTCTTCTTAGCCACGTTATCTTACATAACTGGCTGTGGAGCGATGGCTCTAGTACTTTTGGCGTCCTTTTTCCCAGTAGTAGTAAGTTACACATTGTATTAATGATAAATTAGCCGACTACTGCTCGTTAAATGTGAGTACATTAGCCATTAATAACATTATTAGTATCCATAAACTTTCATTTCTTAAAATAAGGTGAAGCAGTAAACTCATTTCTACATCAGCAATGATAACATTCTCTTTAACACTTGGTGCCTTGACTATTGCCACTTTCTCATGCTCCAAGTATTAATTTCGACAACATAATCAAGCGTAAATTATTTTCTTCCATTTAGGCGGTAAATAGGCATATCTATCCTTATGAAATTGCTATCATTTTTGCAATTTACCCACTGATGAAGTTTTTGTCGTCGACAGTCATTGGCCTCTATGTAAGTGACAATCTAAACTGATATCCATGATGAGATCATGCCAAAACTGTATTATATACAACCATGTAGTAGCTAATTTTAGTCATTTCTTACGCTAGCATTATAACCTTAATGTTAATATTCAATCTACTCTTTACCACCTTCTTAAGAATCCTCTATATGATCACTTAATCGTTTCGGATTGTTGATAAACTAGGCTTGATTCTTTCTTCATGACGTTATCATTCCCTGATCTGCTTTGATCATAGATCTATCGACTTGTGATAGTATCTAAGAATACAACAAAATATTATTTGACATGAAATCATACGGATAGGTTTTAGATTGTTCTATAGAAACTTTTATGTATTTTTCTTTAATTTTTACTATCGAAACATCACTAAAAGTCTAAGATATTGCAAATTAGTTTAGAGGGTTTAATTAGATGATAGAACGCTGTTTTCTATATTTTTTTAAGTCATTGCTGTATTTAATCGCTTTGCATCCTAAAATTTTCGTTGTACAATAATAATATTTAAAGGATCAACAAGATAGGATATCTAACTGGAGCTATTAGGCTTACTCTAACTAGTCATATCTTAGCTTCATAGACTTAAATAAATAAACCTATTTTGAATATTGATTTTAGTTGCCTCAAGTGGGAGTTAATATTACTATTTGGATGGGTTTGATATTGGAAGGTGGTGGCTTGATCATCTTTGCGTAAGATTTGGATTTATAGAGTGCATATAGTTCTATTTGATTATGATATCAGCATAACTGGCTAAATCTTCTTATTGCGGACTATTGGCTATGATTGTTAACTAATATAATCCTCGATCACAATTAGTAAACTATAAGCTGTCACAGACAGCAACGTCCTAGTCATAAAGCAGTTTCTTTCTCATTGTTTAAACTATTCACATCACAGCTTAGGATTACAGCACTATCATCTATACTCCTAATGGAATCGATTTCTAGCTATGATTCTCTACATAACTGGACCGTAAAATCTTCTATGTCAGTTAAAGAGCTACAATATTTTCGAAAGACAATATATTTGTTATTAAACCATATTAATAACGTTCAAAGTAACATTTCCATTATGTAATAGTATTGCATCACATAATAGTTATGATTGCATTTTGATAAATATTAAAGGAGGAGATTTCCATCATGTACTGTAATGATTGCATTTTGATAAATTTTAAAAGAGAATACTTCCACCATATAATAATGCAGTTATAATTGTATTTTAATAAATGTAAAAAGGAGAATATTTCTATTATGTAATAGTAATAATTGTATTTTGACAATATTGCTAGATTTCTAGATAGAATTTTGGATCGAAATACCTTCGTAGTGTATTGCATCATAACTAGAGGATTTCAAGGTGCTGGCGCAGGTCTCCATCTAACTGCTAGTATTGCTTGCGCTATTGCAATCAATCAAGATGCTATTGGAACGACAATTGTAAGCACTTAAAATACGCGTATAATAAGGATAATTTTGAATTTTCATACGAGTATATCTATTTATTTACCGTTAATTAAGGCTATACGACATATTTAAGGAATCCAGATAAGGATAACATTGACTTTATGTATTTGTCTATTTACCGTAAATTAAGACTATTTACAACATTGTACTTAAATGAATCAAGAACAGCTGGAAATAAGTACTAAGATAGTTTTAATTTGTAATAAGAAAATCGAATAAATAGACTTCATGAAGAATTAGTGTAGCAGAATAGGACTATCACTATTCGATCAACGATTCGTTTCAAGACTATTGACTCATTTTTTATTTCCATCTAATCTTTCTAAATTTGTCGATATTTTTCTATAGGCAATTATAGAATTTGCTGCTGGAATTGCATTGATAATAAGCCCTATCATAGGAGGTGTTCTTTATCAGGTCAATTACTAATAATAATATTTAATATTGCATAAATGTTTCTGTAAAATAGCCTGTTCATAGTAGTATTACAGTTATCATCACCATTGCATAGTATTATTACAGTAGTTATATAGTAGAGCAGGTTATCAGGCTAAACTAGCTATCATGATACAAATACCCTTATAAGCTGTATAACGGTGAAAGAGTTTAAGATTTTATACAAAAGCCAAAAACTAAAATATGCTTTAAGATTAAAAGAGTATCAGAGCCCAATCACGACAGTTGTGGCATTCCTCCGTTTTTTTTCTGGAAATATTTTTATTTCGATAAGATTTGTCCCCAATTTTTTTTATTTAATCAACTGCTGCTCGATTCTCAAAATCGATCATTCTTGTTATAGTATGGAGGTTTTAAAGCCCCTTTCCTGGCTTTGGGATGTTTACTAGTCATCAATAGTTTTTTGGTCATTAAATTTCCTCGTATCCATGGTAAGTTTCCATTCCATTTCTAATGTAGAAACAATATACAGAAGGATTAAGTGAGATATAGTAAATTGTGATCACACCAGAAAATTTAACGTTAATGTAGTATTTAGTAATTACTGTATATCTAAAAACAACTATCTAGTAAATTATAGCGGTCACTCTTACTACGCTATTTGGTTAATTGTAATCTGTAATTTTCTAACTACTTGATAATTAATAATAATCAATTACAAAAATTTTAAGGCCTCTCCATTTTTTAACAGATATTAGAGCATCGCCACCACTAAAAACTTTCCTTAAAGTTTTAACCATGCCACGCGTAGTAATATTATGTAAGAACTGCATCAATCAAGTAATAACTATTAATACGATACGGAAGATTTCAGATAATTAATAATTTAAGCAAATTCGTACCAATAATTAATTGTATTAATATATAATCTTTGATATTGGTTAGAGTCAAAATTCAATTTTATAACTAATATATAAAGGTTTAACAAGAGTTATTATTCGAAGATGGTATAACCATGTGTAGTATTTAGTGATTTTAATATCCACTTCTGAACTATTTTCTTAATTCTTGTTATTCTGTTATAGATAATTCACATTGGATAAGTTCTATGACTAAGTAGAATGATCCATAACCAATTACATCAGTATAGCCTCAATTCATTATCACTTTGCGACTATACTAATAGGAATAGTAAAAACATACTGTTCATCATACCAACCATCATCTGCAATTAATTAATTAAGTATAGCCGACTATTCTATGTCACATAGAGCTGGAGTTTATATTACCATCACACTTTCGAAACATGTTACTGTTGTAATTAGCTGATATCACTGCTACAATAATTCTGAACAATGTGATTAATAATTAATTCCGATATGGTTTTATAGACGTTACGATCATCTTGCAAACAATTTGTGTAACCTTTTTGGATCCAACTATAGCAATTCATCTCAGACAGGTTGATAGAATTTAGCGTTTTCTTACTTTTGGATAGCGATAGAATCATTTATCTGTAATTCAGACTATACTATATAATTATTAAAATTCTATATCTAGTTTTTTTACATTGAGATAACTTTCTAGTTTACTCTTCATCTGCTCATATTTTGATGTTATACGTGGATTTATCAATTCAATTTAATGACTATTAACAACGCTTGACAGTTCCATCTATCATCATCTGCAATTGGTGGATTATATGGTATCCAATCGTTATCTTACATGATATTTTGCGCTGTTGCTGGCATTATTGTCGATAAAACGGTAAGTTCAGCTAACAAGTCTTCATTTCGATCTACTCTTGCATCTATTGTTTGTACCATGATAACGTGGATAAAATGATTACATTCTATTATAGAACGCATTTTCAATAGCATTCTCCTTTAATATAGGCTAAAAAATAGTAAATTTTTTAATAATTATTTAATTTTCTTAAAATATTGTAATGGTAATCACAAACTACTTAACCGAGTCATAAAATACCTATCAACAGGATATTTTTCTTATTTTTAATATTTTATTACTACGCAATTTAGGGAAAATTTCGATGGATCAATATTTACGCATTTATAATTCTTGCTGTATCATTCCAATTTGTAGGACCAGCTCCATACTTGAAAATGCATCAGTAAGATCGTTTTTCGAGTTTGCCATCTATATCTTATCAATTGCATCATTTTAACAATTTATTCATTACTACCGCAAACCTATTAAGCTATAATATTAAACGCAAATTGCTAATAGCTTACGTTTTCTTACGATAGATCCCTTACAAAAATCGTGATCGTATTTATATTTATTGGCCTTGCAATCGCTCTTTCAGTAGTCTCTAGTTATCCAGATATGGCAGAAATTCTAACTTCACGGTTAGATATTAAAATCGATTAAAATATTGCTAGGATGTCCGTACTTTCTCTTGAGTAATAATTTAATCTTACATTAGAAAAAAAAAATGGATCAATCATGAAAATAAATTTATGGTATTTTCTTTAACATCTGGATTAGCTAATTCTGGTCTTGCACTGGGGTAAATAATTTACTCGTTATTTAAAAAGACAAACTTCATCAAAACTTCTACGTCTTTCACCTGTATATTAAGAAAGTTACACGAATAACTACATATACATAATATTCATAGATAGGCTATTGAGATTTCATCAAAATTAAAAACTTAAATCCTTATATTTACTATCGTATATCAAGTCAAATCCTGGGTCTACTTATTGGTGGTGCCTTGGCATTAAAATCAGATGCAGCTTTTAACTGGACTTCATCGGTAAGAAAGCGTAATAAATCATAAGATAATTGTTACTCGCCTCAAAAAGCAGCCTGTTTCAGGTTTAAATTGAATTTAAAAGTTTCCGCACTCCCAAGTACTATATTCAACGATCAACTAAATCGTTGAAACTAACGAACAAAAATCTGATCCAAGGCTTAACTTTCAATCTTTATTTTTGTCTTAGAATTTATCAATATTTATTGCCTATAACTTTTTTCTTAGACGAATATGTGAAGCAGAACATAATAGTTAGCCATATCTAGAAATTTACATTCGTATACATACAGACACTTAAGGATAATGAGAGTGATCAATTTAATTTTGTATTAATTTAATTTATCGATTGATTTACGATCATGAATAAAGATAATTATTCTAATTGAATTGATCTCTTAATCTATATAGGTCTTAGGTTTCTTAGCCTTAGGACAGGTAATTTATATAAATATTCAAATCTAGAATATAGCATACACTACATTAGTACAATATTAGTACGATAGCTACATATATATATATATACTCTACGACTAAAACCCGAACTAAGAGTAAAATCTTTTGAATTTCAAGCTTTAGACGGCCATGTAAGTGCCTTTAAGTACAATGTTCGTCGTATTTTACCATTTCATTGCAGTATGGAAGTGTTTAATTGTATTGCATACCTGAAAAGAACTAAACGAGATTTGTTTCCTTTCCCTGTAGCAATTAATTTTACTTAAAGTAAATGCACTCTTATTTCGGGCTTTAGCCGTAACATATATATATTTGGCAAAAAAAATATGCACATAAGCTTTGGTCAAGTTGATTTGTTAAAAGTCATTTCTATGCGAAATACATTGATACCTACTTGGCTTGACTATTTCATTACGATTTCTTTCTATCTAGGCTATAGTTATGATCATTTTGACTGCCATTGACTGCGCAAATAGCAATGAATCTTAAAATATCCCATAAATCTACATGATATCACTTCGATGCATAAAAAGAATCAATTTTACCTGATCCAACGCATAGATTGTATTAAGATAGCAAGTATAAATAATCCGCATTTGCGTTATGGTTGAAAAAGTTCATAGATATCGATTGGATTACTTGAACTCTGCTGCATCTTCTGAAGGGTTATTTATCTCTTATTGTATTATAATCTGTAACTGCTAATCAATCTATCAGCTAACGATTATTGAGATGAATTCCAGCTCATAAAACATTCTAAACCATCGAGTTCTATTAGGCGTGCTTTTTTTAATTTTATCCTTATTTTCTGTATGTGGCTATCATCTTTGTCACTGTATACTCGTATATACTACAAAACTGATATTGTAGTGTGATCTGATAACCTAATTAGGTGATCATTCTGTATATAAAATTGGTGGTATTATGTAGGATGCTCTAGAATTGGTGAGGCTGATAATAATTTATGCATTTTTGCATATAATACAGAAATTAAAAATTTCGTATAGAGAGGCTTTGGAGTAACAAATAATGCTGTGATATGCAATCTTACTAAAATGGTGGTGATCAATAGTAGCAATAAAAGTTGTTACGTATTGTGCAATGTGCATATTAGGTAAGCTTTATTTTTGGTATTTCTCCTTCGTCGTGCTACGAAATTACTAATTATATTCAGTAGTTAAATTGTAGGCAGCATAGCCTAACAGTGTAACTACGTAATTCTACAATCAACTGCACATAGACTTAGTGATCATAAATCAGAAAGAAGTAGTTTCCCGATCTTTGTAAAACCAATATAGACAGCTAAAAAATAAATAATTATATTGGATTGACTTACCTTGAATCGATTGCCTAATTTCTCAATTAAAATTATTTAATATTGACGTCACTGACATTCAATAGTAGTCACTAGCACACAATCATATCGACGCAGTATAAATGTTCATGTCTAGGTGTTAATACCTTCTTAACAACTCTTTAACGAGTGAGTCTATTCTAAATATAGAGTGCCATTAGGTGTCATCGATAGTTATTAAATCAAGCTCTGAACGCTTCCATAATATCAAATTAAATTCAAGACAACTTTATTCTTGAAATTGATTGATTTAGCTATATATTAACTAATATCCGCCTTTATTGATGAGTTTAAAAGTCTTGGAATAAATCTATTTGAATAAGCAAACAAGTCCATCAATTAGTAATCAATGACTGGTAGATTTTCCGAGTTAGATTAGTATAATATTGTACTAAATTAATGATAGTAATACACCGATCTAATCTCGTATTAGCTTATACTCACGTTATATCAATAATAAAGGCCTATTATGATAGTTTACAATAGCCTATAAATAGATGAATTACTACGGTAGTTATCCGAATAAATTCTAGCTTATAATGGTCTAAAATTATACTAACTAACTTAATCCTAATTTCTATATACTTTAGCCCTTGCGAATGTTACTATTTGTCTATTACCATAATATTACTTAAAATTGATTAAGATTATACGTATAGATGACATCATTATCTGATAGTATGGATCCTTTCCCTTATGAATTGACGTGTAATTCTGTTTCATGAAGAGAAGAGTAGTAGACCATTTCCGCCATTCTCTAACGAGCTAGTGTTAATTCATGATATGGCCTTTAGGGAATTCCACGTTAGGCATAGATTAAATAAAGGATAAGAATGTGATCTTAACTAAGCCTAGTCAAATGATTTATTTACATTTATAAGTACAAGCGTAGTCATCACTCAGCGTGAATACGGTTTCATAATGATTCATCTTTATTGATTCTAGTAGATGCGTCTGTAAGAATTCAATATCATTTTACTGTTTTTAACTAATAGTGACATCAACCTATTTTGTACTTAGATTGCGTTAGAGTAAAGGATTCAATTTTTATGTACTGGAAATAGTAGACATTTTTTTACAGGTGATTGATTATATTGCCCTTCACGATATATTGGATTAGTATTATGGTCATGAGATTGTAAATTACCTACGATAGAATAAACGATTTCTTATATAAGTTACTCGAGAAAACAAGAAGTTATCGCTATTTTCTGCCTCTTAACTTCTATCTTAGCCTTTCGTAACTACGATAAAATCTTTATGATTTCATTGTAGCTATAGAAATGAAAGGGGAGACAGTTATTCTTTCGGAGCTAAACTGTCAGCAATACAAAAATAGTAAGGAAGAAGGCCGCATTGCTGACCATGATGACGATATGGACAGTGAGGATGAAAAAGAGTTATCACGATTAAAAAAAGCAATTTTGTTAATCATATTATATTTCACTAACATAGCTATTGGAATGGCTTACGTTATATTAACGCCTTTTTTCTCTGTATTGGTAAGTTGAAATAGATGTTTATCGAATGATTATTTCCTTTAAAGGTATCAAAATAGATAGTCTAATGATAACATGGCAAATAATCAAGGATTAAAACGATAGTTTATAGCCTATTCTATTTTCTACTTGATTCATTCTTTGTAATGGAACCTAACTAAATATTGTCTATTTCTTCCTTTAACGTATAATAAGTACTATATAATTATGTATTCATATAATTACTTACTATTACCGATGCAGAATGCCTCAAATCTACTACTTCTCTTAATGCATAATTAATAATTACTTGCAATTGCCGATATAAAATATGTTGAAAATGTAAATAATTTTCAGAAAGGTGAAAATCAATTGATCCTTTAATCAGGTTTAGAACTTTTCATTTCATTAATCGAATGCCAAAAGTAGAGTATTGAAGCATCGATTTGAGGCTTGGCTTATTTAAACTGTAAATACTTCGGTAGTTTATCATTTTGCATAGACATACGAATAGATATATATTAACACAGTATAAGAGAGACTATCGCCCTAAATCAGATATAATGCAACATGACTGCAATTGATCTTCTCCGTTTTAAAGTTACATTAATCAATTCCCTCTATTTCAGTTGCAAATATTCTGTTACAGTTATTTTACAATAAATACGTAGTTAATGTATGTTAAACCGGTATAAGGTGACGTTCGTCCTAAACTAGGTATCATCCATCTTGATTGATATTGATCTTCTCCGTTTTAATGTTCAACTAATCAATTCCTTCTATTTCAGTTGTAAATATTGTTACAATTGTTCCACATAAATACGGATACATAGTGTTTGCAATAATCAGCTAGTAAAGTAGTTATCTACCGAATGAAGCTATTATTCTCTGAACTAGTCCAAGAGCAATTTAAGAGTCAAGGCGTCGGCTCTTTAACTTACTTATTGTATTCTACTTTCATTATTGTTTATAAATAGGCTAAAAATAAAGGTGTTCATCCATATGAAATAAGCATTATCTTTGCTATGTATCCTTTTACGAAGTTTTTCTTATCGATCATTGTAGGCATTCTTGTAAGTTATATAGTTAAATAATATTATATTCAGCCACTATCGTACTTCAGCGACTAGAATTTATAAAATATATTATTAATTTTTGTTAGTATTAAATGTATTATTTACCGTAGTATATGAGTTAGTTTATTACATAGATAGTAACATAATTAATATTAATGGGTATAATTATACTATCTTATAAGTACGTTACTAATCGATCTGATACGGTAAGGGTTCAAGATTTTGATTTAACTATAATTATTTAGTTTCGGATTTTGCCTCTTAGTATGTTCAAGAAGCTATTATTAATCTATAGCAAGTAACTATTAATATTATTCACTGCATGAGTCAATCTAGGCATAAATTTCTAAATGCCATTAATATAGCTTTGAGTATCACATTTTACCATTTAGCATATTCAGATAAGTTAACAACAATAATTTCTAATTTATCATCCATCAATTACAATATTAATTCTTCATTACTTTTAATTAATCAATCAAGCAATTTTACAGATTATTTTGAATATTAATATCCCCGCTTAAGCTATTGTCACATTCAAAATACTTCCTGATTTAGTATTAATATCCACCATCAATTCTTACCGTATCTACTTCCTATTTAGCATTACATTCACCGACAACTGTTATCATTGCAGAACACAGTACTTGTCGACAGAGCTATTAGAATGTCTTAGATGACAACTAAAGTTGCTACTAGTTATAATACTGAATCTATAACTTCTATAACGGATTTTAGTTACCTCGAATCGGTATTAAAACGGCTATTTGGATTGGTTTGGTCTTGGATGGTGGAAGCCTAATCATATTTGGGTAAAGTATATTCATAATATGCACAAATACACTAAATAATAGCTATACTATAGCAGCATGCAATAGGCTAATAATCTTTCAGTAATAACATAATCGTAATCTGATAACCTTATTTTACCCAAATGGTTCGTAATTGACGATGGGACCAAACTTATTCTATATAATAGTAGTGCCCATAAAATGACTGATAATCATTTACTGCATCCATGTATTTATGTAATTAAAATCATTACCAACAAATTAATCAATTTAATGTTACAATTCTCAATATAAATTCTACAAAGCTGGAATAATATTGGTAAAGATTGTGTTTTACATCCTTTATTAATTTAGAATGCTAGATCAAATCATCGATCGAAATATCTTTGTCATATTTTGCATCATAACTAGAGCATTACAAGGTGTTGGCGCAGCTTTTTATTTAACTGCCGGCGTTGTCTTTATAATTTCAATACAGAAAAATGCTATTGCATCTTCAGTCGTAAGTATGGGAAATAATATTCCTTAAAAGGCTTCATTTTAATTGTATTTCTAATTGGCTAATACTGTATCATAGATTCATCAAGTAATTACAATTAATAGTCTTAATCGATCCATTAATATAACAATATCACTTAATTAAAGATTTGAATAACTTCCACGGTAATTATAATGTTACTTTAGGGCTTATCAGAATTTTCATTAAGCTTAGGTATGATACTTGGTCCCATTATAGGTGGTGTACTCTATCAGGTAAAGTTACCTTTTATATTTTGCATATCTTAGATTCAAGTAGACTACGAGTTTATTAAGTAAGTTTAGAGTAGTAGGAACTATTAATGAGTTACGAAATAACAATTCTGAATAAATATTTTTACTTATATTGCATGGTTACAACTTCAAGTACAGTATCTTCATTGAATTACTATGGTATTAATATTCAGGAAAATACATGTATTCGTATTTATTATGGCCTCGCCAGGAATGAAATCAAAATAGTTGCAATATATACACCTATAATCGATATTTACAAAGCTTAAAATAATATCTTGAATAGCGTGTGCCTAATAATATGCTTGAAAATACTATACGGCATAAATAAACATAATTTTAGATACAGTATTATGCTAGGGTTTACTAATGTTCTATCTACCCATACAGGAACTTTTACTAATGGTGATGATATATATCACTCTTAATTATGGATATTATAGTATAGAGGTTTCAAAGCCCCATTTCTAGCTATAGGAATTCTACTTATAATAATTAGCTTCGCTGTCATTAAATTCCCGTCTATTTATCGTAAGTATTATACGCAATTACAGCTTATTTGTAATCGTAATGGTGCAGTTTAACTTTTCAGATGATACAAAATGTATTACATGAATTAATCTTCACTACATTCATCAGTATACCCTACTGAATACTAAGTAACTATTTTGTATCGATTAACAATGTATTATTTGAATTTACTAGCTAATTCATCATAAAGTAGAGTATTAATTACTGTTAAGTAGATATTCATACTTCACTCAATTTATATTAAAGAATTGATAAATTTATTACAGCTCTAGGCTTCGGACAAGCTCAATCATTCCGAACTACTATGGAAATTTTAACAATACCACGTGTCATGGTCTTATGTAAGAAGTTAAATGTTTTAAATTTCTTTTGATTTAAGCTATAATCTGTCAGTTCTACTTAACTAGCAATTCTAAATTGTACTGGATTGCTATAGATCTACTGTTCATAGCTAAGTTGCTGAATTTATCTCAACTTCTAACTGAGATTTGTGTTGTGGACAGAGCTAAATAAGAAGCGTTTTTAGACTCTTATTAATTCCTACTTTATTAAAATATGTAGAAGTATTGCTACTACTTGCAATTAAACTTTAATATATCACAATCCATACTTTATTAAGTATTGCTCTCATAGCACCTGTAGTTTATCACTGTATCTTCTCTACATACGGTATTTAGATACTTCATATGGTTAGATATTTACATTTTATAAACATCGTGAGGGTGGCAGTTTGATTTTATTCATACTCATAAAGTTGACCAATAAACTGACTTTGTTGATTCAACTATAAATGATAATATATCCGAATGAGGTATAGGACTAGTTCAGTCTATAAATGAAGTTAAACTATCATTCGCACGCCCCTATCTGTATATTGTAATTATGGGCTTTCAAAAATGTGCGTTTTATGATGCTTTTGACAACTTAATCTATTTCCATATAGATATAGCCATGACTCTGATAAATACTTATATAGGCTATCTCGAACCAAGTATAGCATTTCATCTTAAACCGGTTAGTCGATTTCCTATTCCCAATTTTCGTTTACAGACTACATCTGTTAATTCTTCATACGTTTGGTTAACTAGATACACATGTAAAATATGATTAAAATACTTATCAGTATATACTTATCGGTTGATGTATGATTAACAAATTTATGCAACAGTTCCATCTATCGGAATCTGAGATTGGTGCAGTATTTGGAGCATTTCCGTTAACATACATGATGTTTACCATTATTGTAGGTTATGTTACTGATAAAATGGTAGGTTTGAAAAAATGATTCACTTTACGGTCGATTTTCATTACCGGTGATATTTAGTATTAAGTGAGATGGAGGCGATTTGTTTCATGTATAACAAGACATTTTTTCTGCTACAAGAACATAAAAATAGCGTAGTTATTGATTGAAAATTTATCTATTTTTTTATTAAGTTACCTAAAAGTAGTTCTATGAAAGCTATCTCATATTAATAAATTGACTCTTATTTCCTTAATATAGGGAAAGTATCGATGGATAAATATTTGTGGAATGATTATCTGCGGAATTGCATATCAATTCTTAGGGCCTGCTCCATATCTGAAAATGCATCAGTAAGATCCTATCACATTGTATAACAATATCGATATACAAAATTTATTTTTATCCTAATAGTATTAATTGAGTTATTTGGAATTTATATTAATTATCTAGCATGTAATCCAGTGTCATGATTTACTACTTACTAATATCTTTTTTATCTTCTACAAACTAAGATCACTAGTAATGACGGTAACATCCTTAGCATTTTTGGGCCTTGGAGCAGCTTCCTCTCTTGTTGCCACTTATCCTGATATGGTAGAAGTCTTAGTCGCACGGTAACCATTGAATCAATTGATTTTATTTATTCTCTTTCAACTATGAATTTTCGTGTTGTTTATAATTAAAATATAGCGAATACGTCAGTACAGATGATAAGTTTGTCATATATTCGATATCTTCCGGATTACTTACTTGTGCTTTTTCTCTTGGGTAAGATTATTCCTATACCTAACTGTTTACTGACAGAACACCCTGTTAATAATAACGATAAAATAAGTTATTTAAAACTATCATTCCAATTCTTTACATATTAATAAACTCTTTGGACCAAATAAATTTTTTATCAAAGTCAAATCATCGGTATGGCTGTGGGTGGTAGTATAGCATTACGATCAAGTGCTAATTTTAATTTAAGTTCATGTGTAAGATTCTAAGTTTAATTCAGTCTTCTATATATCTTCGGTATTTTAATCAATGTCGAATCTCTTCGTTTATATTTTAGCTATTATGTAAGGTTTAGTATTATTAGTTCCATTTAGTTACCTAGATATTTAGACTTGCTCTTGAATAACATTACATTGAATCGACTTCTTTAAACAACAGCTGAAATTATCACTGTTACTGAGTTTGCATATCATCAAAATATAACTTTAGAAGACAGTAAACAACATCATTTCATCTTAACTTAAACTAATAATGTTTCTGCTAACTGTGACATAACTGAAATAATCATCCATTTCGTTTTTTCATCTAGATAATAGGATTTCTAGGCATTGCGCATGTAAGAAGGCATAAACATCCTAAAACTTATAGTCTTTTGCGATATGTTAATGATTATCTGATCATAAGAAATGTCACTGTAGATTATTCGTTATAAACGATAAAATGATTAGGTATATTTAAAGTGCACTGAGTAAGCTTGATTAGTTTTTAATAATACTACGTTTACAATAATCATAAAATCGATGTACAAGGAGTGTCTATCAGCACACGTATTCTCAATATGCTACTTTATTTTTTTCTAGGCAATAGTTATGATCCTTTTAACGTTATCTGAAAAATTCAGGACCGTCTAAATTTTTGAATTCAGTAACAAATTCCTAACAGATTCTTTATATTGATTATTAATATATAAAGCCCTATGAAGATATATTGTGTTTAGGTGCATTACTAATCAGGAACGTTACTATAAATATACTTTAAAGTTGAAGTATTTTAATTTTATCAGCATATTCAGTATGTGCAAATATTTTTTCAAAGGTATTGCCGAAGTGTTATAAAAAACTACATAGGAAGTCGTAATTCTGGCTGATATGAAGTTGTGTAGTATTCTGTGTGAGGTCAAAATGTTGCGAAATAAAATATGCAAAGTAATATTTCAAATGTCAGTACGGAAATTGGTATTAGAGAGCTGATTCTAATTAATAGTAAGCTGCAAAGTAGATTTACTCGATTAAGGAAGATTAAATTTCATATACTCATGCTATGTTCTTGTATCACAATCTCGGTCGTGATAACAGCACAAATTGATTACAAGTATGGAAAACGAGTATTTAATAAATTAAGAGTAAACTAAAAATATGTAGGATTAATTGTACCCAAACGCAGCGCTTTTTGAGAGAGCGATGTTAGTACATTGCCGTTTACAGCAGCATTTGTATCTTGCTTTGCCTTTGACTTATGGCCGAGAATCAAATACGTCAACCTGTAAATTATTACACATTATTTTAGTAATGTTGCCTACCTACCTACAACGCTTTTCAATAATTGTGGCCAAAATAACCGAATAAATTATAATATATTTTGTCAGTCATATTTATTACTTTCGATGGGGAAGAGTCAATCACAATAATAATTGTTACTTCAGATGAATTGAACATTTTAGAAGTTTAGATTATTCTTTATTTATAACAATTAGCCGTAACATGAGCTAAAAATATTATGACTTTCGCCATGCTGTACAAAAGATGAGCATAATAGAAGCCCGGTTAATAGCTTCAATCAAGGACGATAACTAGCATTGCTATGGAGGAATCATAATCGTCTTATTTCGTATATAGAATTACAGTTAAAAAACAAATAGTTCTCATTCCTTCACATTACATTAAGAATAATGTTCCATTGTTTGTATACCAATGTATACAAATATGCATTACTGAGATAGTACATATGGAATACTATATTGACCCTGCACTTATTTAATGACGGATTACTAAAAATAAATATCATTATATTACTGACGCAGCTATAAAACTGATTTGCACGTATCTATTCCAATAATCAATTTCAGAATTTATCGTACAACTTCTAAAAAATTACAATCCTACTGAAATATCTTTACATTTTACCCATCTACATATATCAAATTATATATACGAATGTCGTATGAAAATATTATTATATATACGATTCTGCGTAAGTACGAGTATATGCTGTATCTCTGTATTATTAACCAATTTATCTTATATAAAAGTGAATACTATAGCATCATGTTTTCATGGCTTGCCACAAATCAAGATTAATCTTGGCTAATAACAATTTACATTTCTCAGTTTTATCTTGGCGCTCAATGATAGAAGAAATATGCTTTTCGAGGCGAGGAAGATTATTAAAAGCGTCTTTCATGATATTCCGTGAATTACTTAATCTCTGATTATTATGCTTAACATTTTCTTGTATAAAAACAGTGTCATCACCTCTTTCTTTATCTTTAAAACGTTCTTGAATAAAATACTGTGTAATTTGTACATCAATTAAATTTGCAAGAGCAGTTAAGTATAATTCGCAACTTTCTGCACGAACGACATATTTTTTGGTAGTCTTTTCGATATTCGATACTATCAGCAAAATCCTCCAATTCCTTGACAACACTCTCGTCAATTGATAGATCTAGTGGCGATAATTGGCAATTGCCTTTATATTTCAGCAGACATCCTCCTTATAATAGGTTAATGAGTAAAGTAGAATGGGATTTCAATCTAATGTTAAGGCAAAATTTAAAAAAAATATAAACATGAGGGAGCTTACCTCCATATTGCACCAGTACTTTTGCTACCTCATAGTGTTCATTCAGGATCGCATCATGCATTGGCGTAATGCCGCCATCTCCATTAGCAGAGAAATTTAAGTCTTTAGAATATTTTTGCGAGCATTTAATAATAGTATGCACAGCATCGATGTGTCCGTGATTGCAAGCTTCATGTAACGGTGTCCAACCACAATTGTCAACGACATTAACTTCGGCGCCTTCACCAATTAACGCTTCAATTGTTCCTACATCATTTCGTTTGCAAGCGACGTGCAATCGTGTCTCGCCTAATTGTTGGTAAGAAAATTTTCCTTTAGTAATCCACTTAACTATAATATAGTAAATTTTCTTGTAAATGTTGCCTATATCACATCAGACAGTTGCGGTAATGTAGTTTATAATCTACTTTTCCCTAATCAACAAGATCAGGTAGTGATATTTATAAAACTCTAAAGATAATATTGCAATCACCTGATCGATCATTAACTATAAAAAATTAGTTACACCAACCTTTAGCATTTCTTTTCTCAATGATTGTCCCTTTGCTAACGGCACTACTTTATTTATGATGATAATGTCAATCGATAAATGATCTCATTATTGGTGTGTACAACAGACTCTTATACAAACAATTCGAACCATAACACGGATTGAGCATAATACCTATCTATGTCTCAATATACAGTATTTCTTATACCATTACATCAATCAACGTATCTATTCAGTCGAATAGCCATTACTAACGTTTACAATTTTTATTTGTTACCTAATATCTCTCTTATCATTTGATAGCAATTGACGTCCATATGGAATCAATTCGAAATAATTCTTAACCTGAAATATATTAAGAATGTCGGTATGTAATGCACTTTATATTTTTATATGACCTTGGATATAGACAGTTTCATAACATTAACCATATTAACTAAAAGTTAATGTAATAATAGATACTAAAACAATTTGTAATTAATTGCTGCCTTACAATTTTTTGCAATGACAGCGATTTAACTTCTTTTTGTAGACCGCTGTTCAAATTGTTCGGATGATGAAATGTTAAGAGTATATATTCAGATACGCAGGCTACCAGCCAGTCCAATGCTAAGCTTTCCAATAGGGCTAGTTTTCGCTTACTATCTTTAATTTGATCTATTTTTCCAGCTAGCTTTATCGCAAATTCTATTGCATAGTCGCCAAGTATAGTCGTATTATTCGATTTATAATAGCTAGTCATTTCTTGACGTGCGCAGCAGTCACCCGATAATATAAGTAATGAATGTATTAAATTTATCTGATGACGAAACAACAAACAGTATTAAATATGATGGTTAGTTACTGAAATGTCAACCTAAGAATTATTAAAAGGATTAAAACTAAGAATTACATCCTAACACAACGGACACTCACACAATCATCAGACAAATCAGAACTTTGCTGATATACCCCAAAAAAAGCATCCATCAACTCTATACTCTTCTGCGATACAGAGGCAGTTTGATAAAAGTTTCCAGGCCATAGTAGAGAAAAAAAAATCGGGCGATCATCTTTCTTTTCTTTCTTACCGATCCTATAATAACAATAGTAAAGTAACAGTAGTCTGGTTTCAGTATTTATATAAATCGAAAATACGATGGTGTAAAGCTATCTTGTCAGGATCACTTACAACCCATCATAGAATATCTTGTAATCAGTCCATAGCAATTGAACAATAAAGCGCAAGATTAGGACATCACATTTTTCTTCTTTCTTTGATACACTTTAATGAAATAAATCGAAAAAATTTTATAATTTATCCATACTGGTAATTAGTAGTATGTAAACGAATATCTTTTTTCAAATTTTTAAAAAGATTGTAACCAATATTCGTAATTAATTACTTTTCAATCTTTTGCATAATATTGTTCCACATTTCCATATTAATTGTTTCCACTGAACACGATTCGTACTGATTTATCGATCTATCGGTACAAAATGACAACATGTATATCTTTTTCATTCTCATCATTTTAGGAGGATAACGCTGTAAGCACTCTGTAAGAAGGCCGAACCCCTCATTCATGATTAGATCATCATTACTTTCCTAACAATGAAAGATAATTAATCAACAGAGTCAGTACGACAAATGATAACTACATACATGCATTAACGTATCAGTAAAGATTTTGCGCTAAAAAGGTAATCGTGCATTTCATACAGTAATGAGTTTCGTCATTATGTCATGCAAAACACTTGACGGAGGATAATATTTCAATAGGCATTTTTTCGCAATTTCGATTGCAGGATAGTAATTTTGGTGGTCAAGATGAGTGCCGAATTGTGATACTTCAGTCGAAGGCATAACCTTTAGATTCTCGTCTCCTTTTTGATGTTTCTGAATACATTATGATGTAATATTACAAAGAATAATTTGATATCAGTAGACTAGTAAACCCCTAAGAAATTTTATCAATACTTTGTACTAAATTTACTTACACTCTCAACAGCGTATAAAAGAAATAGCCTATCCAGGCATATTTGATCATGATCTTTACATATGGGTATGCGAAGAAGATTAGGACGAACCAATTTCTTTGTGTAATCAAATGTGTCAGGATTTTCAGTAGCAACTCGCTTTACCGGAAGAGCATTGATAGGTGAGAGGTAGTCTGGATCCTTTCTCTTTTTGGTCTCTGTAAAATAATTCATAATTTATACATCTTAGTATAACTTATGCTAAAATAAAGGTGTACATAATAAAGCGAATACATTTTCAATGTAGCTAATATAGCTAATATCCTACATAGTCATGTCCATTACTATTACTAGGCAATTATAAATTTACATAGATGTCAAAATTGTTAGACAATGTCATGTTCGTTTTATTTATTAACCTGAAGGATTATTAGTATTTTCTGTCCAAGTAGAATTTTGAAAGGGCTAAATCGATACCAGGAATAAGACGAAAGCAAAAATTTGGCGAGAAATAAATATACGATGTGTAATTATTTTATTCCATATTTCTACATACGTATATATAGAATAGACTATTATGCAAACTATGCTATTTTTTAGCGCATCGCCAGTAATTGTATAACGTAGCACTACTGTATTGCTATGCACAGGTAATTACAGCGAGACTATAATAAATATTATCAAACAGTTGTTACAAGTTATCTATTTAAAGTAAATCTATATAAGGGTAAATTACCTGCTGAAGTATCCTTTCTGTAATAGTTTTGGTAGGAAACCTACCTATTTTACAATAGCTTTCATATTGTCGTTTAAGATAGGAATGTTTTTCATCATAAAAGAGATAATCAACCGGTGTGGGAGATTGTTGAAAGATCTCTGGCTTCGTACAACGAACTCCACCCCATTTTAATATCCTATATAACAATCGACATAGTTTATACAATTAGCAGACACTTTGAAAGATCCATACTATCGCATTAAACTTTTTATGTCGCATGAGTATAACTTTACTTTTCAAATTGATTTTCTTTCTCTGAATCGCTACCATAAACAACAGCGGTTGTTTTCTCTGGGAATAAAGTTAAGCCTTTCTCTTTTTTCAGCCTCCAGTATTGCGGAGCTTGAAGCAGACCTTCTTCAATTGCGGGGTAATTGTGATGGTCGCGGATTGACCATTCATATTCCCTTTCAGGTAATAAACATCCAGCTTTAGCGCTATCTTCGATGAAAGATTTCTTGAGTATCCAAATTCCTATCAGTAAAACCATAATGTCATCATTAGTTAGTACTGTTACTATTCGAACGACTGCGATAGTTGTAGTACTGTAGTGTATTACAGATCCTTAGTTTCCTGTTTAGGAATCATACAACATGAAAAGCGTATTTCTATACATATTACATTCGTTGAATTATCTTAATGAAAGAAATAATATCTAGTTTTTATTACATGAAACTAATACTTCAGGCTTGTGTAACAAAGTATTCACTTCATACTGTACTTGTTACTATAAGTATATCTAATCACGAATGCGGCAAAAAATAGTACAATCGTAGCATTTCTACAATTTTCCAGTACAGTTCAACAAGTTTTTCGATGTAATTTATTCATCATCAAATGATAGAAAGATAGCATGAAAGTACGGTAAGTAAAGCAATGTGTAGAAGTTGCTCGCTATTACAGTATTTAATAACATAACATAAATAGTATAACATAAGGGACACTTGACATTCATAAAGTAACCTTGTAGATATAAGACTGCATCATATGAACATCCTTCAACATAATGTACGTTATACGATGGTTGCTACTGGCAATACAACCCATCGCCTACTTTAAAATGTAGCACTATCCATAGCAACAGTCGATTCTACGTCATAAGAAATACAAAATTGGCTTTACCTCTTACACAGGCAGCAAGAAATAGATTTGTTGTCTCTGGTTGTTCACAAATAATATGCGTGGTTTGAGTGAGTAGCGTCTGCAGAAATGAATCAATGGAGAAGACATTATTACGATTATTAATCTTCATAATATTGACGTACAAACATTATCGTTTAAAAATGGAAATACAGGCATGTGTTTGGTATAAGTTGAAAGCAAATTTGCTCAGGAACGTTCGGAATCCTCTTTTTAGCAATCTATTCTATTACGTCATTGACTGCTGTTAAGACATAATACTGTACTGTAGTAGACTTGAGAGCATTGGATAAAGTAATCATGATCCAATGAAACAACTGCGCTGTATCTACCAATACAATCAACGTCCGTAGAGTAATAGTTTTCACCTTTGTACTGAGTGACTAGGAGAAATTGCAAGATTGCATTTTGCACTTTCTACACCTATACTGTGTAATGCAGTCGGCAGCAAGTTTAGCAGACGTTCATCCAGATCAAAATAATAACATGGGTTGATGTCACGACTAGATAGAACTGCAATAACACTACTAATCAATAAAGCCTACAACTATAACATGGTGCATCCCTTAAAGTTCGTTACCATTAGTATACGATAGTTGCTACGTACAAGAAGTATATTCCACTATTAACTGTACAGTATTGTTTTGATTTTTAACTTTTATCTATCCGCCATTGAGCAATCTTAATGCAAAGCATTTTGAATCATTGTATTCATCATAAGGTGAAAAGAGTAAGCTAAAGCCTTTCAAGTCATCTTGACGTTGTTACTACCTCATTGCACCTAAAGCGCCTTAATCAAGCATTGCAATCGAACAAGCGATGATCTATATGTTACGGTATAACTAGTGCAAGAAAGAAACCAGGGTTGACAACGTGAAGTATTGCAGGAATTTGATGCCATTTTTAGCGGCAATAACATACCTTACTCTTACCGATTTTCCCATCCAGTTTTTTATATTTACTGGCTAAATTTTTCCTTTCAGTATTGGTAAATCCAATAAACTGCAATTTACCTGTTTTACCTTTAACGCTTAACGGCATAGTTATTCATTCTCATGGTCTAATGATTGAAAAATGCTTCTTCAACATGCAAAGCCAGCTGAGCAAGAGATGGCTTTCGGAGATCACGCCTAATGGACAACTTCCGCTCTGGTCTGCTCAGGTTATTGCGCGCCCACAGTACGGTACAGTACAGTAAGCAGCGATGACGCTACAGTTTGCAGTCACAACTCACTATGGAATGCTTCTCGGTTATCGAAAGTGGCGGTACCTCGCCGACTACAGTACAGTATACTGTACTGTACAGTAAGTACAGTGGGATTCTTTTCGGTGGCACTAAGGAGAATAAATTGTGTAGGCTAAATCGAGCCCAAAGTAGATAAAAGCTTGTATGTAGACGTAGCCCAATAACTCAAGGATGTCAATCTGGCTTTTGTTTCTATAGATTTGTTCTAATTTTCACCTAAAGTCTGTCAATAGTCTAAAGTCGTTACAGTACTAAATGAAAATTTCTTACAGTACGCACAAATCCCGCCCATTCTCTGATAGTGTACAGTACAGTACAGTTATTTAAATAGATCACTAGTGCAAACTCCCGTCGCTTTGCTGACGGTTTACGATAATGTGCTCATTTAACAGATAGTATTACCATTTGTCGTAGACCTGTCAGAGGTTCAGTAACTTTATACCGTGTACTGTGTAGTAGTAGAGTGTATGACATATACTGATATACATACCGCATTTCTCTAATCTTACAGTAACTCTCCATTTTTAGCTATGTGGAACACTCTTACCCACTCATTCATACTGTATAATATATACTGTATATACTGTATATATATATTAGTGCAAGCTCCCGTCGCTTTACTGACGGTTTACGATAATGTGCTCATTTAACAGAGGTTCAGTAACTTTACACCGTACCGTGTATTCGCAGGCTTTCATACTGTACCGTACTGTACTGTACACTGTACTGTACATTGTATACTTGTACTGTACACTGTACAGTAGAGGTCTTCATGATCTGATCCGGTCCGGATCCCGGTACAGTGTACAGTACAGTACAGTATCTCCTCTGCAGGCTTCTGTACAGTACTGTCCTGTACTGCACTGTACAAGTGTACAGTACAGGTCATCATCCTCTGGTCTGGTCCAAACCCTAGTACAGTGTACAGTACAGTATCTCCACCGCAGGCTTCTGTACTGTACACTGTACAGGTCTTCATCATCTGGTCTGGTCCAAACCCTAGTACTGTACAGTGTACAGTATCTCCTCCGCAGGCTTCTGTACTGTACAGTGTACTGTACTGTACTGTACAGGTCTTCATCATCTGGTCTGGTCCAAACCTTAGTACTGTACAGTATCTCCTCCGCAGGCTTCTGTACTGTACTGTACTGACAGTGTACTGTAGCGTGTTGACAATCCAGTGAGCTAAGAGACCTCAAGCATCAAGAGCATCAAGCCGAATGCATCAACGCTTACGTCCACATTTGATCTGCTCGTCTCGCAAACTCATGGTATGGACTCCTCTCCTACATTTTATCTGGGTTAATTGAGTTTCTCTGGTGATCATATACAGCCCAAAATTAGTGTATATTACAACTAACATTCATCAGTCGATAGTCACTAACCAGCTTGCCCTGTTTGGTCTTAAAATGGAAGAGATAGACTATCAAGAATCACAAACGGTAAAGAAATTTGGGAATGGGGATCTATTCCTTTTTCTAGTATTGCCTTGATAAACATGGGTAATGTACAGTAGATCTCGTGGATATTAACGTAATTTTAATCAATTACAGTACTACGACATATAATACATTATATTGTCATGACTAGTAGTATATAGATATACTGTATAATCAGGACTCCGGTCAATCTATTACTGGCTCTCTAAACGTCTACATACAATTCATTGTATATTTATTACCGTAGGAGGAAGCTGAAGTTTTATGCTCGATTTACGAATCCGATGAAAATTTCAAGAAAATATCCGATCAACGATTTTCCTTCATGGTTCGCTAACAACTAATTTTAGGAAGTAAACTCATCAAAGTTATAATCATACGATTAATATCGTATAATAATAATTATAAAATCAATAACGCGTCAATTCATGAAAAGAGCATTGGATCGTTGATATTCATACAGCAAAAGTAGCAAATACTGTATTGGTATTAGCATAGCAGTACTAGTCATCAGATTATGACACTGTGATTGGATAGTATACGAGTATCTAAAATCAGAGCCTTTTTTCTACAAAAGATCTGAGCATTTGGTTAAAAATAGTGTAGTATTTTATTAGATATGACACTTATGCTATCTGCAATACGTACATTGATATATTGACTTGCGTTATAGTCATTATACTCTTACAGAATATGTAGCATATAGACGTGTGGTAATATAAAACGATGAATATTCACGTTTGCTTAGACGTCAGATTGTGTACTAAATCTGAATCTGATCACGCAATTTAGGTGGTATACAAGTAGATTGCATGCAGTCTGACCCAAGATATAGTATACGCGTATGCTTAACTATTCAATCAGTTCTCCTATATACGTATACTAGTATATAGCCTATACTGTCATTCGTATTAATAGCTATCAGTAAAAAATTTACAGCGGACACCTTACCAACACTTTAAAATTTGGAAATGAATTACAAACTGTTCTAACAGTAGCCTAATAACGCTGATATTTCAGTATCGGCCATTGAGCAAATTCGTGTAAATCATGAATGGATAGCGAACTATTTCACAGATGACAACATTTCAGTTGTATTGATTCCCTGTAGAGATCACTACTGCAAATCTTTATTGGAACTTAACTGTATCTCATTTCATTTTAATATAGTTTGGAGATGAAGGAAGCCCAAAATCATTCTTAGTTCATATTATATGGACTGAAAATTATCCCGACGCTCTTCCCGAATTCAATTTAGATGCATTTTATAATAATCACCTGTAAGTTCTTTCAATAGCAATTTCCATGTGAAATATTCAATAAATTAGCAATTCCGTCGATTCTGTAATATGCCCGTAAAGCCATATCAGAATGCAAATTTACACATATCATTATCTAACTACAGAAACTCTACACAAAAAAAGTCAATCGTCGACAGATTACTGCTGGAGGTAACGTAATATTTCTGTAGACTCTCGACACTGATAACGATAATAATGTTAAGTTTATAATTTTAATTAAACGCTGTTTGATTTCGGTTGTGTGATAGTACCATAAGTACATTCCTTGTTCTATTTAAAGTCATAAAGATTTTGATATCTAAAGTCGTCATTGCATAATGAGTGTAAATTGCAATGCTACAAAATTAAGATGAAATACAATAACGAAACTTAATTTATCGTATTTTGATTGAAAAATAAAGTACATGAATAGATGTATGGTTCTATTCTACCTCAAAACGTAAATCAAAAATCTTTCCAGGAAAGAATTATTTATTGATTAATCATATACCATATTAACGATCAAACATCCTTATCTTAATGGAGTTATTTTCACTATCCTTTCGAAAATTCAATCATACCACAAAAAAGATCTTGCGAATAGCAGCTCAACTTCTACAGTATTGATTGCAAATGAGCAAGCATCTTTATATTACTGCATTAATTCTAAATGTTATTCTGAAACTGTCCATGGCCACTGTTTCCAATTAATGACCTGACTTCAATATTAATTGAATTGAAAACTGAAAATTTACTAACATATAAGAGGATTACTTAAACTTTTATTATACCAGTAATAACCATCAATCTTATTTTGCCATCTATCTATTTTTTACAATAGTCTCAAGAATTAATCGGATCGGCTTTAACGTATACATTATTTGAATGGATCAAGGAACATCTGGATGAGTTAATAGTAGTTCAGGAAAGCAATCAACAAGAAGTAATAATGTTTAATTAAAGAAACTGTTAATCACCAGTATTATTAATAACTTGTGATGAATTCATAAATGCTTCTAGTCTGAGGGGAATAAACATGAGTCTGACCAAGTGAAATCAACCACTACTGTAAAGGACAAAAAAGAACATCTATCAAAGCAGCAGAAGCGGAGATTAGCGGACAGAGGCTGTAAGTATGAACTTAGTATTCTATCCGGATCTCAATAGTTATTAACTTACAGTACGAACTTTCCAATTCATATGATTGCCACGTTCCGTAAAGGTATTTTTACATCTATCTAATTGTTAACAGTCTTAAATGACGAAAGACCTCGAGGATGGAACTGGGTAGATATAATAAAGGTATCAATTATACAATTTAATGAGTGGTATTCGCAACTCCACATTATACTGTACTGAAGATAGCATTTTTGTTTCTAGTAGTTAACGGAGTCATAATTGCACGTATCGTCTCTTAAGTAATTTTCAGCTTTGCACAGTAACTATAGTGTAGCTCAACGTGTAAAAAATCATATTCACGTATGAGTTTCCGTTGAGTTAAGAAACTGTTATTAATATCAACTTTGTTATTCTTTCACATGACGTCGCTTAACGGGAATACCGTACTCATCAATCTAGCACGTAAGTATAGATTATGTTATCAATTGCTTAAAGCTGATTCAAAATATTTTTTATACTATTTCTAACTGGGCCCGTTCATTACCATTTAACTGTTAGTTGAGTAAAACTGGAGGTCAGCCATCCTAAACGGTAAAGGTCCGTCTAAAATTTCTTATCTGAGGAAAAATGGAAATACATGTATGAAAAACAGCATTATTTACAGTAATTTACAATATTCGACACTTCTATATTATTATGTACATAATAAGGTATAAGGATGGTCGTTTCCTGCATTGGTATGCTTAAGGTTAATACAGTATATGAGATATAAAAGTTGTATTAATAACTTGAAATGTAATTCTTTTTTCTCTAATAAAATTTACTGGCAGTTGAAATCATACCTTAAAGCACCTGTTATTCTTACTGTTACTAAATAATACATTAAAGATATTAGTGTATGAAAGCATCTTTAAATTGTATAAAAATACTGACTGAAATTAATTATAAATTAAATTTAAAGGATCCAAGAATGTTTTAAACATATATTATCACTTATCAATATTACAGAGCAAAGATATCGTTGATGGAATCAGTTGTCTATGTAATACGTGTATTAATTATAATTATAGAAAGGGTCATTACAAGAAGCATAACTATACATAAGCGTACTATATTCGTACAATGTATTATTATTGTTAATACCAATTTAAAAATTGAGTTATATCCTGTTTTAGTAAGCATTAAGATTTGCAATGCCATAAAATAAAGCGCGTATAATTGGTGAATTTACTGAGTACTAGTCTAACTATGATGGAATTGCGCATGTTGAAAATCCACTTCTGTAAATTGGCAATGATCAATTTTGGATGCGGATCGTGTTAACAACTAGTTTACCTTTAACTACCGTAGAATGTCTAATTATGTGCTGCATCCTCGCATTCTCAAATTTTGTATTTGATTTAGCGATGAGTACTACTGCTATTACACAATCGGTATACGCTCAAATACAGATATACGAGTATATTTCCAAATGATTTTGGCTAATTTACTTTGCTCGTAACACTGGCTACTGAATTAGATGTAATAAACTTGATAGAAATCTAATTAAGTAGGCTTTAAATTAATTCGATATCGCGTCATGGACAAAATTGTAGAATATGAAGTAGTTAACTGATCATGCAACAAGCAATACCACATTTTTTTAGTTTCCAAGCATCGCTTATGCTTTATTACGTTAAATTTGTAAATAGGGCTATAGTTAATTAGTATACTACGCTAATTAATAACAGGAAATGATCAAGCCTTCAAAAATTTGGTTGATGGTACGCAGTTTACAGCAGTTCCTCAGAATCTAATGTCAAGAATTGATACTACAACACTAAGAGGCTACAGGAGTTCTGCTGATAAACGACTTCGATTCAAATGTCAGTCGCTGTTTGCACTTACGACAGTTATACATATTTGTACAATGATACTAGTGCTATATTTCACAATCTTCACAGCATTGCGAGCAATTGTAAGATTGATAAGTCACGAGTTTAATCGTGATACAACAGCCAAAAATAGAATAGATTCATGGGTGTTAATGCATTTATTCATTTGAAAGTGTGTTATCTGAAGGAAAAATAAAATAGCACGGTACTTGTACTGATAACTCCCGTATCAAAGTAAGGAAATGCAAAAGGCAGTAGTAATGTTTACTTTAAATTTAGGCGCTAATCTATTTCGATTTATAAACTACGAGGAACAAGCCAACGTAGCGAAGAAACCATAATGGATTGATGTGTGGTGATGTGCCACATGAAGGAGGTTCGATGTTTTGGGGTATCCAGCCAACTTTTTAGGAGGTGGGTGCTTTTCCGCAGACATAATTATCGTAGGAAAGCTTGATTATGTCATCACCAGAACTATCTTTGAATTTCAAATCAATGTACTTTGTCAGACCTTCACTAGTTGCAACCCTATATCTTGGCTTCTCTTCCTTCATCAAGGCAACAATAACATCAGCAATATCTTGAGGGGTCTGTCCTAAATGCGAGAAACGATTAAACATGGTAGTAAATACGGTCTGGATAATTTCTTTCGTTTCTGGTTCAGCTTCAAACATGTCGAGATCCTTTTCTTGGTTCATAGCCTTAACATTATCAACGAAGCTGGTGCTAACTGGCCCTGGACATACGACCGATACGTTGACATTGAAACGGCGCAATTCAGGTGCCAGAGCTTCACTGTAGCCATCCATAGCAAATTTGGAAGCGCAGTAGACCGCATTGAAAGGAACAGCGATACATCCACCAAGGCTGCTAACGTTGATGATATGACCTGATCTTTGTTTCTTCATTGTGGGCAAAACAGCTTTGCAAACACGAACAGTACCCAGAAAGTTACAGTTCATGATACTTTCAGCAACTTCCATTGGTAGTGTTTCATTAGGGTGAAATAAACCTTGACCAGCATTGTTGATAACAACATCAACTCTACCCTCGGCAGCAATGATGTCTTTAACCGCTTTTTCGACACTGCTATCCGATGAAACATCCATTTCCCGAATAAACAGACTCTTATCTAAGTTTTTGCCAGCTTCTTCAGCTAAGGTGGCTTTCTTTGCCAAGTTACGCATGGTTGCATAGACTTTGTATGCAGGATCTTTTGCAAGGGTGATAGCCGATTTAAGGCCAATTCCAGATGAGCATCCAGTTACAATTGCTACTTTTGCCATTTTGAATCTTTTGAACTTGACGGAAGGTGATGATAATAACAAGTTGAATATAACAACGCTAGAACAATGCGATACTGCGTAAACTATGCGACGCTAGAGAATCTCAATGCCACATGCCGATTAGCCTTGGAAATCTGGACTTTAAATAGACTTCCTTCTACCGTCCATGGCTCCAGATTTACAGTATCAAGTTGAGGCAAGCATTGACCCCACCGTAAAGATTGATTCGTATTGATTGTATACGTCTGTATGGCTGAGAAACGCTGGGGACGCTTTCCGTACAATACCTTACAGTACTATTGCTTAGTCATCTATTTCCACGCCTCTCGACAATGAAAACCTTTGACCCTTTACTGTAAACGTGTCCATAGTTACAGTACCTTGATGCTACTCCATGTCATGGTGTACAGTGCATTGTACTGTATACTCCTAGACAATGTACAGTACAGTACAGTACTGTACAGTATGGAAAGTACAGTAGTATCTGGTCGTACTGGGCAGTCATGCACTGTAGACCAGGGACTCAGACTGTAGTGGTCGGTAACGTACGCTACGGTTACCGTACGAAGGCGTACGGAACTTTACAATACTATTATTCTACTCTCTAGTACTGTACTTCAATGCTCAGTATGATTCTATCATTCTAGAGGTCCATGTTGTAAATAAATATTTAAAATTATTAACAAATTTTAAAATAAACACCATCATCTATCGTATAGACAGTACCAGGCAGATTGCACTGACTATCCAATTGCGATGTACTGTATACTATATTACTATACATACTGTACATACTGAAACTGTACAGCACAGTGCCTCTGCTGCACTTGATGAACCTTTTAACTGTCCTCTACAGTACAGCACAGTAAACACACTCCACCAATGATTCTCCCAACATCGGTAAACTCTGTATGATGTAACATTATTTATTGTTAATAAATAAATTAAATTTAAAAACACATAAACTGGGAGTTAACTGTTGTAGACTTTGTATACTGTAGGATACACCAACTCCATGTCACGGCGTAGCCAAGTTTGGTCAGGTGTAACGTGTTTGTAAGAAGGTCTTTATTGTAAATTAGGCAGGGCTATTTATACATAATGAATACAGTAAGAATGCGTATTAATGGTAACATACAGCAGTGTACGTAGTTCGGTTCGGTACGTATTACAAATGTACGACAAGTACTTAACATAATCTATCAACATCAGGGACTTCTGACAGAGAAAGATCCCTGGTTTGATGGTGCTTCTTTCTACAGTACACGATGTCGTAAAATTGCAAATTGATTTTGTAAAAAATGAAAGCCAACGGCATGACCAATTTGCCTTGTACAGTACTGTACTTATTTATTTACCCGGCGCACCATATACGACATTCACAAGTGGCATGAAATGAGTATCGGTACCGGCACCGAGCTACACGGCCTGCTAACTCAGTGATGAGCTATCAGCCATACTATCAGTAATCTTATTAGCAATACTAACAGTAAATTTATGTATTCCCGTAATTTGATACTTTGATGTTGTAAGAAGTTGATTAGGAATCTAGTACAATAGCCGAAAATGATGAAATCTTGCAGAGCTGCCGATCATAACAGGCTATTGGACTAATTGGAGTACTATACTGTACAGTGTACAATAGTGTACCAGGCACAACCACCCCAAACATATGTGTTTTCCTAAACAGTATCGAGTGATGTCAACCACGAATAGTTAACCTTGGAACGGCTTTATAAATATATTAAAATTATATATAATCGTATATATAAGTACAGTCAATGTCTGCAAACGATGCCAAGAATAAGGCGTGTACGCTATTGTAAGTAAACATATTTATAGCTGTGAGACAAAATGCTACAGTGCTCAAGAATACATGTAGCAATATCATGCAATTTTCGCAACCAAGGTGTAGCTTTAGGTGTATCTCCGGAAATTCAAAAAAGATTATGCTTCTATCAGATTTACAGTATTTGGAATCTTAAAGTAGGCCATAGCATTGATATGCCCGCAGTTGAATAAAGCAGGTATAATTGTGCATAGCAACAGTTCCTTATTGCATAATTAGGAATTATAATTTCTTATGCAAACATTGCAAAGAATAGCAGTATTGCAACGTTTGATCCGTGAATCACCGACTTCACTCTTTAAGGGATAATCATAAACATCGACAATAATTTCAGCTCATAAAAGCTACAAGCAAAGTATAAACTCTAAAGTAAATACTCCGTAACTCAAATTTATCTTTAATGATCGGACCCAATTTCCAGTGATCGAATTATACTAATTTGAAGTTACATATTGACTGTAGCCATTACTAATGTCACCACATTGTCATCTTACAGTATATACAGCCACGGACTATTAAAATATATCTAGTGCATCTAGTAGTCCATGATACAGCGTATAACTAAGTAAAGAATGTATTGCAATAGCATAGAAGGTGCCTCTATAAAGTAAAAATCTAGGCTCTCTGTCATCGTACACCTTGCTTTGAGCTAAAAACATTATCAGCATGTGGAAAATACCTAATTGACCATATCTCAGTGCCACATTGTAAACATTTACAGATCTACAATACTATAGGTGATAAAATTTCATATTATGCAATATTATGAATATGCTTTAAATAATTCACTAAATATGGATTTGAATTGGATACCGGCACTTGCTGCAGTTGTTGATCGTTACGGCTAATAATAAATATAAATTGTATTTAAAATTACAATTAAAAATGTTAACGGTAAGCGAAATTATAAAATAACGAGTTAGGAGCGTTCTAAGAGCATTACATGATTAAATCTTAAAAAATAATGAAGCACTAATGATGGAGAAATCATGTTATACGATCAGGCACATACATTAGAGCTACGGCTAAGCTAACGAAGATCTTGAACATGTAATAGTTTAAAATGATAGAAAATTAATAAAGTAATCATCATTTGCTTTAACGCATCTACAGATACACATACTAGCACTGTTTTACGCTTCTATTTTATCAATAAGAGCAGATTAAAGTTTGACTTGCTAATTTTTCTCGAATCCTGCTTGGATATGTATAATTATGGATTGTGAAGTCAATACTATGCGTCTGAACGTAAAAACTAAAAACTTGCAAATTAGAACCTACGCCTGACTGCTTGAATTACACAAATACGATTAAAGAGCAGTCTAATAAAGACAAGTACATCTGACAAAACTTATTTTATAAAATCGCTGAAATTGAATAATTTCAAGTCAATCTATAACCTATTAATTATCGATACGCTCACACACAATAATATCCAGGGGATAAATCAAACGGATCATTGTAATTTGTTGGCTTATACAGTACATTGTAACCACATAATTTGTTAGTATAATGAGTATTCTGGTATGTACAGCATGTAACAGCATGTATTGTAAGTGTTTGTAACTATCTTATCATGTTCTAAACATGATAGTCAATCCGAGACAACTACGTCTAATGCCTTACTAGTAATTACCAGCCATATAGATCGTTTACTTGTATAAATTAACTTTACAGACACGTTTACTAAACTTTGTTACAACTGTTTATGCAAAATTTACGGTAATACTGTACATAGCAATAATACATACATTTACTGTCAGTAATACATATAGAGACTTGGTAAATACACTGTACATACATAAGCTTATGTCTTATCCTCACTATGACTATTATCTTTATTTAAGTAAGTAATTAAAAGTCTAAAACGGTTTATGCACTAAAAATATAAAGCATCACTTTGCAACGAAAATGACGTCGCCCCCTCGACACCCTTGTTTGCTTTACAATATTAGTTAGTACCCTCCAGAAGAAAAATGATAATTCAGATCCGCAATAGTCATTAGCAACCGGGCATTGAAATAGTTTACACCGTCATTTTAGTTCCAGATTTACATACATACTTGGCTGGCTGTATGCATTGCAAACATTATTCATAAGATTGTATTTTGTCATATACGCGTAACAACTGTACAGTATATTTTGCGCGCTATATCATACAGTAATTTAATTTAATTCATAAACATGGATAGGGTTATTCGATATACATGTACCGTATGAACATTGTTTACTATTACTGTAGCTAAGTAGTACGCAAACTACGCTTCCATACAGTAATATTTACAGTTAGTATTTAGCTGTAGTGAAGACAACTTTGAACTCAATAGAAAACATATTACGTTTTTTGTATCCAAACCGGATAATTTATCGCATTAAATTAATTTTACGCTGTATAAGAGATACTTTACTGCATTGGATTAATTTGACGTTGTACAGTATAGGATTGAACGCTGCAAAGTGTTCAATCCACCCTGGTAATATCAAATCTGTATTGATATTGTTTTCCATTTACTACATTGTACAGCGGTCATTATCCGCGTCCAATTGTCCTAGACCGTATTCTATATGTAATATGATTTCTTGAAATACACAATGGTTAATGTTGAAGATGATGAGAGGATGAAGAGCAGGTTTATTTGTAGATTGAGAATGGACGCAAATAGGTAGAACGTTGGAGAGACATACACACTACACACTACACAGTACACAGAAGGAGGCTACTACCGGACAGAATATGAATTTATCTATTATAATTTGTACTTATTGTAGGCAGCTATCACGTGATATCAATCATTGGTGCACAGTACGTCTGTACTGTACTGTACTGTACAGTGTACAGTGTACAGTATACTGTACTATACCGTACTGTACAACTGTACTGTACTGTAGGGTTTTAGCAGAGACTCTTGAGCACTGTACAGTACAGTACTGTACAGTGTACGCTGTACAGTAGCTATTGGACGGACAGATATGTTCAGCCTCATCTCGTCCAAATATTGCAGTGTACAGTACTGTACTGTACCAAACACTTCGTTATGGGAGTACTTTAGTATACAAGAGGTCGATTTTGAATGGACTGATGTTTTGTCAATTAAGTAACATTATATTGAATCTTATTATCGATTACAAAGTTCTACTTAAAGAAATTTATACATAACCGTAAATGCTATTTAAATTAGTACCAGTGATTTCAAAAATAGACATACAGTAGATGATTTATACCCGATAATGTAGTCTTTTTCGATGTTTACGCCTTCACTTGGTAATAGAACTCTGTCTGTCCGAGGGACGGTCAGTGTACAGTACAGTACAGTACAGGAGCACTCCATGAGTCCAACGTTGACTCAGAGTCCTACTGTACAGTATCTTCGATGCAATACTGTACACTGTACACTGTACAGTACAGTACAGTACAGTCCTTTACAGTACTGTACTGTAGGTGGCAGCATTTTTTCGTTAGACCTGGTTAGTACTGTACTGTACTGTACAGTACTATACAGTACACTACAAGTGTACAGTACTAACTTCAAAATTAGTCTTAACACTACCGGTAGTCTGATACAATGCTTTCTTATGCATGACGTCATTCATTTCTCGACGTCGTTACGCGTACGACGAGACCCACGTGATTGAATATTGTTCAGTCACAAGATCCTCATAAGATTCTCCGCTACAGTACAGTACGTCATACATACAGTATGTACTGTACACTGTACAGGTAGAACAGCAACGCTATACAGTACTGTACTGTACTGTACAGTATTTTATTATTATTTATCTTGGTGCGTACTGTACCCGCAGGCGCAAGCCAGTCACGTACAGTATAGCACAAGCCGGTACGGTACACTACTGTAAAAGTAGTGTACAGTACTGTATATCAACGTTGCTGCACACTGAATTTCTTTTAATTGCAACACTACTCTAAATAAACGAACGCCAGCAATCAAGATGAAGTTTTTGCTTGTCATTGCTGCTTTATTCCTAATTTCCTCGGATGCCTTGGTCAGGTAATGGAGTCAAATGTGTTTTATGATATCATTCACTTCTGTGTAGCTCAAATTCAATCAGAGAATAGCAATGTATATGTTAGGTAGAGACTAAAACTCGATCATGAGCAGCTTTCTTTTCAACGTGTCGTACTCAATGGATGTCAATTCATTGCATCATACAATTAATGAAGAAAAGATGGAGTGATGACGAGTTAGGACATGATCTGTGCTGAAATAATGCTGTATTCATGGATATTAAGAAATAGTTTTCATGCTTGTCATGTCCTTAGTTTGCAATAAGCATTGAGACGACGAGTAGCTTTCCAAATTACTATCCATATTATCCTCGTGCGTATAATACTGTATTCTATTCGTTAGGTTTTAAACAGGGACGGCTACGGATATTGGCTTTTGACCGCATCTGTTAATATCAAAGTCATGTCCGCCTTTTGTCCTAATACTACTGCGGGATAGTTACTCATGTAATTTATCTCTCTATACATCATTCTATTTGGCGAGGATACCTATTTTCCATGCAACAAATCACTAATAGACTGTATCGCACATGACTACCTTGTAGAATAGAAACAGACGTAATGCGTGCATTGTTCAGAAACAGTCGGCAGTGAGAACTTTCGTATACCGACAGTAGTTGTTGATCTTGTTTTATTCAAGCTAATATTGATCGCTAAACATCAATGAAACCGATAATCTTGGAAGCAATCGCGCTTTCCATTCTATCTCACTGAAAGAATAGACGCATACGTGATATAGCATTGTCGGAAATGTTGAAACTAATATACGAGTAAACATACTAATACTAATAAAATGAAATACTAATTGTGTTCCTGGCAAAATTACAATACATTTTGCAGTTGCTTTAGAGTAGTGCATGCATCAAATCTCCTTCCTAGTAACATTTCAGTTGACCAATTTTTGTTACAAAATGATGGAGACTGTAATGAGTAGTTTTTACCAAGACAGCAACGTCAATCCCGTTTTACTATACTGTACGTATAATGACACAACAATAGCGAACTAGCTCACCTCATACCGCAAGTTGCGAGTACATACTGCACTTTGATAGTGGATTATATTGCAGCGATAATGATCGCATTCAATTGATTACTGTCTTAAATATTTTACAATAACAGGGTTCCACTGTACAAATTCAAAAAGACTCCACGTGAGCATTTGGCTGAAGTCGGAATAACGTCGTCCATGCTCAGTGAGAAGTATGAATTAGGAGCTTCGCGAAATGCTACAGAAATGTTGAATAACTACCTGGACGTACGTTTCTAATTTTAATCCTATAGTAATTGAGGAATAATATTAATATACAAAAATATCAACTAGAAAAACATTATGCAAAGTATATCATCGGTACTACAGTAGTATACGATTATCATCTATAGCTACTGCTTGGGAATAGATGTTATAGATATAATTGCGATCAAGCTATCTAAATATTGCAATCCATTATCTTTAGGCACAATATTACGGTGAAATCTCTATTGGTACTCCTCCACAAAAATTTAAAGTTCTCTTTGATACTGGTTCGTCCAATTTGTGGGTTCCATCATCCAAGTGCTCGTTCCTGAATATCGCTTGCTGTAAGTTGAATGAACTGTTTATCGTATTAGCTATACCGCATGTTGTTGTATAAATGGGCTTTTAATTGGGTACGACATCATGTTTAATTAGTATTTATCTATCCATAATTCCAGTGTTCCACAGTAAGTATGATCATAGTAAATCCAGCACTTACAAAAAGAATAGTACCAAATTTTCGATCCGATACGGAACTGGCAGTTTAACTGGATTCCTTAGTGTAGACACCGTCAGAGTAAGTGAAAATATCCTAGTGGTAGAATAGCATTTGCTAATTTGTAAAATAATTATCTAACCACATTCTACACTTGCTTTTCAAAAATGTCTGTATTAGATCCAGGGCGTCAGTGTCAAGAATCAAGGTTTCGCCGAAGCAGTTAGTGAGCCCGGTCTGACGTTTGTTGCTGCTCAGTTTGACGGTATCTTGGGTATGGGCTATCAAGAAATTGCAGTTGATGGTGTGCCACCAGTATTCAATAACATCATGGCGCAAAAACAAGTTGGAAAATCAGTATTCTCCTTCTATTTAAATAGGTTTGGATCACTGTCTATAAACTGATATACAAATACGTTTGGCTTTTGATAACAAGAATGCGAAATGTTCCTTATCAATAAATTTGTTCTAAAAACTATTAAATGTAGAAAAGAAGGTGCCAAACCTGGTGGGGAATTAATCCTAGGTGGATCCGATTCCAAGCACTATTCTGGAAATTTTACATACCTTCCAGTAACGAAAAAGGGCTACTGGCAGTTTAAAATGGATGGGTAAGTTATATATTCTGAATTTGGTAAGCATATCAATGAATAGTTGAAGTAAACCCATGTCTACTTTTTGGCTCAATGCTATAGTATTAGTGTAAAGGGAAAAGGTAGCTTCTGCAAAGGCGGTTGCCAGGCGATTGCAGATACCGGTACCTCACTACTTGCTGGTCCAACAGCTGAGGTCAATAAAATCCAAACTTTGATTGGAGCAACTCCACTTCTCAATGGAGAGGTAAATATCAGAGATTTTAAATTTATCTGATTAAACATTCTAAATTGACTGTGATGATTGACCGCCACTCATATTGTTTAAATGTGTTTAGTATACCATTGATTGCTCAAAAATCTCCAGCTTGCCACCTATTACGTTTACTCTTGGCGGTAAAAAGTTTACACTGACCGGAAAACAATACGTTCTCAAGGTATTATAAATTTAATTAACTGTAGGATAATTTGCTTAATATTGTCCGGAAATGCTTACATCATTAGATGTACGAAAGCACACCTCCATTAGATTATTTGAAGTACCGCCTTAGTAGTACTGGGCTGAAATTAATCCGATTTATTCCTTTAAAATGTGCTCGATATCTTTCAGGTAAGCTCATTGGGGTTGGATGTCTGCCTTAGTGGATTTACTGGTATTGATATACCAAAACCAAGAGGACCATTGTGGATTCTTGGTGATGTTTTTATCGGTCAATATTACACTGAATTCGACATGGCCAAAAACAGAGTCGGCTTTGCAAAGGTCAAGAATTAAATCTACTTACCCAATAACTTACAAGCACGGTTAATTATTAGATCCCTGCGATTGAGGCGTAACATGGTCATAAAAAGTAGCGTTGTATTAAAACTTTTACGCTATTCTAATATTTAACTAGAGGATATCCTTATTTGCTTTAATGACACGTTATTATCAATGCTATTCATGGCTAATTAGTTCATTAATCTGGCAGCAAGAACTAAAAATCCCTTCGGTATTAGCCTTTTTGTTATTATACATAATAATAATTATAACGAACCGCTCCAATTTCTGGTGTCTGATCATGATTTTTTGTCATTATCGTTGTATGTGCCAGAACGCATTCCGGTGGAATGTAGTTAATAAAGAGATTTAATTAAATATTACGTGTGTCTTTACAAATGTGCCAGGCTTGAAGTATGAAATTGTATAAATATGCGCGATTACATGAATCATTACAATTTGAATGGAACAAACAAGTATATTCGGTTAATACTATTCAGTTATTGGTGATATGTTTTCAAGACTACCGTTGAACTCTTAGGAAATCGTGCAAAGGATTTGACGTCAACATGTAATCTTTCAAAAGACTTAAATTTAAGTTACTGTATAAGAAAGTATTAATTATTATTATTCCCTTATTTTTTACCTTACGGGTTCGTGTAGTTGTTGCAAGTAACATTCGTTTGATCCTCAGTTTTAATCAATGAAGCATTGTAAATCTACCCTTGTATCTACGATTAAATTATACTTTATGTTTGAAGAATTTGTACTTCAACCTTGCCTATTGACTCCGTTCTTGCTAATCCTATCAATTTAAACAAGGGTTGGGAACTATCGCTTTCTCCGTAAGCTTAGACAGGGTTAGTTAATAACTTTTATTATTAATTAATTGAGCGCCTATTTTCTAAGTATTCCCAGTTGAATAGTTTTCGTAATTCAATGTTAGAAAATAATTATGCTGTTAAAACCATCGGATTCAGTTTTGAATTCAATCGCTTCCTTTTCATTTTCTGACTATGATCACTTTTGCTTTATTTTATACGTTGCATAGTCTGTCGCTATAACCTGTTTCTACGTCATGAACTAATAAATACAATTAAATTTCTTGACCAGATAAAGTATCACATCTCGCACTTTCAGTAAATTTTATAGCAAAGAGCAAGCTATTGCTTTACATCTGCCTACGTTATCAATAGGAGACATCCGATGATACCGTTATTGACGATATCATAGCACAGTAGAGAAATAACATCCTACTGTAAGCTTAATTGCACACCTATCTACTAATGATCTAAATATGAATGAATCATAAATATCACTTTCAAGCCGAGCTTTATTCTTATCCTTTATCAATCGTGCTATAACGATTGTTAATAATTATCAACATAATATCCTGTCGTGAAATAATATTCTGCGCTGATATCTTAACAAAGTAGCAGTACATGAAAGTAATTTGTATTGTTCACCGTATCAATTACTGAATTTTGCATGCATCAACATCTTTATTCCTGCTAATCTGAATAATTTCTTTTTTGCTTTACAAAGAAATCATCAAGAGAGTATTTTAACAGAGAATATTCAGATATAGCCATAAAAAAAGACTACTGTATTAATCACTATAATCATCCCTCTATAGCCGCAATACAATAGCTATTTCGGACAAAGAACCTGGAACACATAATTTAATTAGACAATGGTTATATTTGTCGATGTTGTTGGTTACCTAGAAGGAAGCCACGGAAGGAATATTAATTAAATAAGTTAATTTGTAAGTTCAGTATATGAATTAAGTATTGTCATTCGAGCACTTACCAATCAATATCATCAATATTAATAGCAAATTGTTTCGTAACAGTAATATCATGGAGCGATGCTAAATTAGTTCATTACAGGTTATATAATGACATAAATGCATTTTGATCTGTAAGTGTAGGAAAGTAAATACTGTTTACTCAACCGGACAGATTAGTCATTCTGCATCATTTCGCGTTTAATAATATCTCCAAGTTAAGCTTCTCCTATTTTGTTTTTGTTTTTTTGACGTCATCTAGATGATAAGTATTAGTTCATCAACCTAATCATCGAATAGCAGTGATTATTGTCATTATGATAATACTGGGATAATTGCATTTTACATTCTTTATATGAGCATAAATTTACAAATTTATTTTATGTATCATAGCAACTTTTATCACCTAAATCAATAGTAATCATCCGTTAAAATCACGTGCTTGGAAACCTAGGGAAGCAGAAGGTCAAGTCCCTACTCTATCAAAACTAGCATGCTTCACCCTATAAAACCTATCACCAAGAATCGAATGCGTTAGATATCATTCAATCATCGTCCTCTATTAATAGATGATACTTAATATTGGAAAGTAATAGACCGAGTGATTCATTTGTGCTGTGTCAACTTTGAGCAAGAATTAAAAATCACTTTCTCCGATCTGATCGCCTGTTACTAACACTGATTGATCATCGCAACAGTTTTAGCATTCAATTCATCAAGAGTAGAATCGTATCGAAAAAAATTTATATATATTGTAATCCTAAAATCATTAAGGAAGTCAAAATGGGTTGCTGTACTATATGTTCGCGATTTTTTCTTATAGTTATCTCCATCGTGATGATTTTATTCAGTATATCAATCATCATTGCAGCGGCAATTATTCTATCTCAATCAGACAACATTGCAGCTGCATTGCCTAACAACATTCGAACGGTAACTGTATCAGCCATCTTGGTCATTGTCGCTTGTGTAATGATGATTTTCTCTGGCTTTTCGGGTTGTGGTGGAGCTTTCAAGAGAAATTCTAAGCCATTATATGTCTATGTAGTTTTTGCTGCTATCGTTTTAGCCATGTCAATCGCTGGCGTTGTTATTGCTGCTATCAATAGTCCACAAATTTCTTCTGCTATCGGTCAAGGATTAACTAATGTCGCCACTAATGAATATGGCGATCCAAATCGTCAATCAATTACTACTGCAATGGATAGATTACAACGACAATTCCAATGTTGTGGCGGCAACAGTCATCTTGAATATACCAATTCGTTGTGGGCTAATACTTCAGCAACTAACGCAACAAATTCTAATCCAGTCCCATCATCATGTTGCATCAATCAACAATCTCGATGCGGTCAAGACCGTATTAGTAATTCTGTGATTTATACCAACGGTTGCACAACCGGCTCTGGATTGAGCGCACAATTTATTCTTAACAGTGTTGTAGGAATGGGCATCGCAGTTTGTGTAATTCAGGGCCTTGCTATTTTATGTGCTTTAATTTTACTCCATGATCTTGTCTATAACGAAGGCAAAGGCACCCATTCTACAACTAAAGTAGTCATTATTAAAGAGCAAGCAAGTTAATAGTAATGCATTTTATGTAAAGGTCATTTTAGGCATATCTGAATTTATGAACATGTCATTGTGACGACGTTTGGCCTTATAAAGGAGGGCAGATATTCTTTCTTAGCCTGAACTAATAGTAGATGTTGACTATAGTCAGCAATCATTTGTATTGCTGAAAACATTTTTTCATAATAATTTTAATATTTCGTCAATGGAAAATCACAAAAATAACTAGATGAAGGTGTCCTTATTACAATTTGTTACTTTACCTATATAAAACTGACAAAATTGGCAAATTAAAACAGTTTGTCTTTGCTTCTATCTTCTAATCCAATTTAATTCAATATCACGGCAGATACCATTCGATAACATGTAAATGTTGTCTTTAGTTATCGTATCCATCTGTCAATTTGACTGTTACATAAAGAATAAGATATTAAAGAAATGATCTTTTAAAATGCTACTCTATATTAATTATAATCGTTATACGATTAATATCTTGTCCTAATATCGTAAATAAATGATTGATGATGCGATAATATGACTGTTATGGTGAGATTAATTCAATTGTCTCTTTCTTTTCATTTAACTACGCCAGATGTCAAACACGTAATTGATAGAATGTATCAGTTTCAAAAAAGAATCTATCATCAATCTTGCATAATAAGTCCTTATCTAGCTTCACTACTACATAAAATTATCTTGATACTTCGGAATACAACCATATGTTACATCGCAAAAATAAATCTGTTAATTCTTCAGTAGCAGTAATGGAAATTAATTAATCCGATAAATTTTACACATTTATAAATTAAATACTTTACAACTGTACACACTATTGAAGAGATCGGCTAATAAAAATTTAACATTTATTTTCCAATTTTTACTCTGATATCTTCCGTCGTAGAGGTAGGACTATAGTGTGCTATCATAAAAAGAATAAAATCTACTACAAGCGTGTTTAAGTACAACAGAACTATACTCTTGACGTAGGATATTATTTATGCCCTGTAATTGAGCCTTTAGCATTAAAGAATGATTGCAAATAGTCTTAAAGATATTCCATCGCTAAGTTTATGTTCTTAACTTTCTACAACGTTTTCATTCGGCTAAACTCTCTTTTCTGCCATTGTCTTTATCCATATATCCATCCATATTATTAAGCTATCGCGGAGAAAATAACGCATTTATCTTGATTTTTAGATCAAAAAGTTACTGCAGCAATAAATATCCGATATCTTCTTTCATAAATTAATATTATTCGATACCGCTTTAATATTTCAACGACTATAAGAATTATAGCCAAGCCTTATAATGATCAACGCATATTTAGGAATTATTGCACTTTGTATTTTGCCTAGACTAATTCTAGATTATCCGTAAGTTGTTTAATAGATAACACGAGAATATGGTGCAAAATCTTTTAATCGATCTAGGAAATTATGCGTCGACTACTTTGTCGTAAAATCATGAATCATTATTACCTGGACAACGCTACTAACAAAGATCAACTTCATATTTAATTAATTTCTTCATATAGAAATTTTCGTATCAAACTATGAATCTTGCATCTAAAAACAAAAAGATCTAAACTTGGAAATATAACCAGCATCAAAAATTGAGTAAAATTGGAAGTACTATAAAAACCGATTATTGCGTAAAGTGGACTCTATATCAATAATATTCCCTTAAATTTATAACGCTATTTCCGGATACATCAGTCAATACCGGAAAGAAAGCCAATATTTAGACTGCCGTTAACATTAAAGACTTCTCAAGACTCTGAATATCTATCTTAATAAATGACTATTTCTACTGACAAAATCTTGCATCAATGAAGTCCTATCTTTGATAGAAAGATCTTCAAGCAAATACCTTCAATCCATGTTCAATTGATTTCTCATATAGATTTCTTATTAATTATTTTGCTAGTATTTTAATAAAATTACCCTTGAAATCAATTCTGGGGTGGATTTACTTGAATATATATCATAAACTCCTTTACTATTATCCTTATGATCTGAATCTCATCCGTTAGCTAATCAATGAACTCTTTCTTCTAATTCTTTGGATACTCTTACTAACAATATCTATGCTATTCAATATCGAAATACTGCAGATACAACAAGAGATAGTTCAAGTATAGCTATCTTAATCAAAATTTAGGAATTAGAATTAATAGTAAATATCAAATTCTAAGTAAGCTTTCAATTAATGATTTATCATGATTCCTCTTATATAATCAACCTTATAAATCAATCTAAATGGAAGTAAATTGGAATTTAGGGAACGGACGTACTTGTAGCAATCTGTAATTCTTAGTTATAAACAAGCGAAACTCGGAGATCTATTAATTCTATATTTGACATAAATCGAGACATCATTATTTATCTAAAATCACTTTACCCAAGTCGTCCCTTGTCGACAAACTATACTCTAGTTGCCTATGATATAAAGATGGTCTCATAACAATCTTAGCCTGTGAAGATTTATAAATTTATCTACAACAAGCAAATGCTATCTTTCTGAACCTATTAAAACAAAAGCCTTTGATATATTAATGTATATAGTTTAAATACACGCTACTATAACCGTATTGCAAAAGTTGATTATATTTTGCATACACGTACACTAGTAACAGTATTTTATAGACTAGAAAAAAGGTAAATTGTTATTATCGTCGCTAGGTAAATGAATTGTGTATAAATTAATTTAAAAATTATAATACTATAGATTTAATCATCATTTAATTAGATAATTTTTTATTCAAATATATCAATATGCTCCAGAATAAAAACACCTTCAGCTTATAATAGAAATTTCCTGAGAGACTTAATTACATTAAGATCAAGATTAAGTAAAAGAAGACTGTTACATTAAAAGTCTACTTCGCTTTAATAAATGATTGTTGTTAATTATGCCTATGAAATTAAGTATCTATGATTCAATGTGACACAAATTTTTTTATTTACTAATCAATCATCTAAACGTTTTTCGGTAATAAGGATAGAAATGATTACCATTTGATAAATAAACAAATAAACTGTATTAGAAAGACAAAGGAAATAAGTTTTACCTGCAAATCTTAGATAAAAAATAGATCATTTCTATTTATCAAAATATAATTTATTATTTATTTATCATCTGTTAATTCTTTCATTGAGTCTAGATCATTATCAGGTACGATGGAAAATTAATGTCTAATGTTAATTGAACATTAAAATCGTCTCTTCTAGATTTCGTATTCATAGAATAAATAGCTTTGCTGTAAAGTAGTTTAATTATTTTATTAGCCATTATCCTTATGCTAACTCTTCATTCACTAAAAATTAGAAAGACTATTGATTTGGGAAATTAATCCAGTAAATCGGTAAAATATAGCACAAAAGCTGCTTCTGGGGTAAATAGTATCACCTTCGTTAAATTATTTTCCATTAATCAGTCCTACGTTCATTATTTTCCTAAATAAAAAATTTCCAAGTTATACGCTAAGAATTCATATGCTGTGTTAATAAACATAAAAATCAATTCCATTTACATACTGAAGATACTCGTAAAAATAGGCGAACTATCTTCAGTAAGGTATCGCAATTAAAATTCTTTTATATTCATATCATTCATTAATTAATTATTAATCTATCTTATTTTGGAATAAGACTATTAAACCAAGAATCGTAATAATATAGTTATGATATCAGAAATCAGTATCGATGGCTTTCTTTATCAATCAAGATCAATTTTATGCTGTTCCCCATGATTGTGTTGACTGTTCGTAGAAGCTCTTTATACCTGGAAAGATGAAAGTAAATATATGTCCTGGGAAATCAATCTGACTAAAGAAATTCAATTAATGGTATTACCCATACATATCAATTAATCTAGTTATAAAGTACGCTAAAAGTCAAGAACATACGAATAATTGTAATTTCTTACGTCGGATAAATCTGTGCTATTTACTTTTAATTGGAATTGGAGACTTACGTAATTCAGTCACCCTATTGACTACTTACTTACAGAGTTATTATTGCATTCCATTCTGATTAGTGTAAAGGTTCTTCAGCTGAATTATTCATTTGTTTCCTAAACCCGTATTCAACTTATCGTATACCCTTTCGATAGCCCAACACGATATCATCGTAGAAATACACCTGGTTACTTCAAATTCGATCTTTAGACTTTTAATACAACAACAAGCCTTAAGTTAGAAGGTCCAATCAATTCTGTTTCATATCAGAGTCAACTAATGAATTAGCTAATTTAATTCCTATTGCTTCACTCTTTAAGCAGAGAAATGAAATGTATTCTATATGACAGTATATTCCTTTGTTACTGTAGGTCTAGATTAGTTAATTAGTTAGTTCAGCTCTGTATTAGATGGCTGCATTTTCTATTTGTACCTCAATGTGTCTTTGCTACAGCTACGAATTTATCAATTACGACAAACATTTTATAATAATTCGTTTTTAAATTTGCTATAGCCATGGTCCTCTACTAATTAATTATTACATGAGAGAGATTTCATCTGCTTTGGATACCCAATGTCAAGGTATTGTTCTATAAACACACTTTTTATAGCCGCATACGCTAATAAACTAGAGTTTAATGTGTTGCTATAGTTATCTGTATTATCGACAGGCCTTTAGCTCAAAAGCCAATATGAATCAGTTAGCTCAAGTTCAGTTTATAGCTATATCAGCGTTGATCAACGAAAAATTATATTAACAGTTTAAACAAAATTACGATACTGTGGTAATAAATTCACTAATTTAGAGTAAATCTGCAAAATAAGTCGTTATTGTTATCTAAATATACCCCAAAATATCTTTTCCTATCCTAATGATTTCAATGAGGTTACTGAAAATCAATCGGACTAAGTCTCTGTATTTTCAAGATAGAAAGCTAGCATTAACTAATAGAACTAATAAATAAAACTAAAATTAATTCAATTTTCGTATCTGTTACTTTATTGCTGTAAATCTATACATACAGTATATCTAATTAGAAAAATTGTTTCCAAT